GCCATCATGTTTAGTTTTTGGATATTGTGGCACGGCTCAACCACCCATCACATTCATGAACTATAGTTCATTTTCTGAAAAACATATGGGCCTTGTGTATACTCTAATCCCATATATATATATAGATAGATGAATGCCCATGATTTTCTCATAATTGTATCATAGATTTCACATAAATTGCCCATAATTATCCCATGAATTGCTCATACATTTCTCATGAATTTACAATAAATTGTACACCGGAAAGATTCTGGTCTCCGTCCACGGCCCCACCTTGCCATGAAGATCATTTGAACGGGAAGACAAGGGCTTTTCACATTGATGTTAGTTTACCCAGGGTGTATTGATATGTGACTATATATATATATATGATATTATATGATATTATTTCTATAATGATGTGAAAACCAGGCGATTTCATGCGATTTCAATGCTTTCAATTACTAAAAAACGGCTTCATCGCAAGAATCCACGGTGCAGCTTGGTGATCAAGGCCGATATCAGTGACCCCAAAACGTTTCATTCCAGTCTCTGAAAAAAAGCAGCTAAGGTGGGCCAGCAAACGATAGCTCAGTTGGTAAACAATTCGTAAACAGAACTCAAAGCAGCTACCCTCTGGTAAACTAACATAGCTGTAGAAAATCACCATGTTTAGTGAGTAAATCAACTATAACTTGCAATTTTCAATAGCTATGTTAAATTACCAGAGGGTATGGTTTATAATGTTTATGGTATCATTGTAATATCATGATATATCTCTACTTTAAAAATGGTGCTTCGAAAGCAACAAACATCACTCAGCTGGGCCAATTTTCTCGACTTGAAACCACACTTCGGTGCACCACAAAGTGGGTGTACGCGATGCCGAGGTACAGTGCTTTGGGGAAGTTGGATCCAACTTTTATGGTCTGTTTGAGTGATTTTTCGTCCAAAAATTTGAACACTTAAAGAATCCAAGAGAATCCAAGACATATTGATGTGATGATTTCCAGTCATCAACGAAGCGCTCCAGTCATCATTTTGGGTTCACCGACCTGTTTGGGCGATCCAGAGTGATGGATTCAGCACAGTAGACATGATTTCTCTGGGATTTTGATGTGGTCCACAAGGGATTTCCACAAGGGATTTTTATAGGATTTTTATGGATTTCTATGGTATATATATACATATATATATATATTATGTGCTTCTTTTGTTAAGATCTCTCTCTATGTTTTTTTTGGTTCAACCCTGCAGAGCCACCAGCCACATTTTCCCAGACATTTTCCCATCTTCTCCCGCGCATGGTGTTTTTTATGGTTTTTGTAAACTGCCATGTCAATGGGGCCCATGGGGGGTGGGGATTTCCATTCATTCCATTCATGGGGGATCACCAGAATGGTTGGTTTAGAATGGAAAAATATTGAAAAACCCCAATCTACATGGATGATTTGGGGGAACCCCGATGACTTGGGAAAGCTCCACAGCCTCCACATCTCCACGATTTCCGCAAGGCCTGCGGATCGCGGTCTCCGGTGCTGGTCCGCATGCCGAATTGGACTGGCACCAACCAGTGGGGACGAAATCATGGGATAACACAGCGGGTATGACCAACCATAACTAACCTACAATGGAATAGGTGTGGAAAAATATGGGATAAGCATTATGGGTGGATCGGTTTCCACATGATGGGTTGTAATCCCCTTCTTAACCCAGGTAGTATAACTCCTTATGACCAATTGACAAGGGTACAGAGTGGTACCCCCGAGTTATAAGTTGATTTACAATCCCCATGAACTAGAGACAACCTCCATAAACCTGGGTAAATTATAACGACCTCACTGTTCTCCCTCACTGGAATCATGGTTTTCATAAGGGAAATCATCCCCAAATGGCCGCACGATTCAGGTTAGTGAATTATTATAATTTACCCAGATAAACCCAAAACTGCAGTTATAAGCCAACTTAGCCAAGTATGGGACCCCCGTATAATGATGGAATAGTAATGGAATAAACATTCGAGTTCTGAAATAAGATAATATCAACCCAGATTATGAAATATATGACCAACTTGATATGCTATTTGGGCTATTTGGGTGTGTTTGAATATGCCCTTGCCCCAACAAAAAACACCATGGGGGACACGATGATTCACGTGCATCGGGATACATCAGATGTGGCTGACCACCATCAAGAATCAGGGTGTCAAACACGGTTGAATCATCATCACTGCAGTGGGGATATTACCCTCTGGTTATTTGTTACATAGCCATGGTATAGATGGCCCATAGAAATAGATGGTTTACCGTTCTTAATAGCATGGTTTCCATGGCGAACTGTTAGTCAGAACCAGATGGTAATGTTTTTCTTTTCATAGGGGATACCCTCTGGTAAACTAACATAGCTATTGAAAATGGCCATAGAAATAGTGGATTTACCCATCAAAACCAGTGATTTTCCATAGCTATGTTAGTTTACCAGAGGGTACCCCAAGTCACCATATGTTTCAGTACCGAAAATGCTCTGACTTGGATGATTTGACCTCCCACGACTTCGGAAACCTCTCATAAAAACCCAGTTGTGTATTGGCTTTAGTCATTCTGGGACCCGTTATTGGGGCTTAGTGAGGGAAGGGATTAGAGTTGTCTAAGAATTTTCAGGTTCTGTTGCTGCTATGTTTATACATATATGTATATATATATGATTATCGGGTACCCTCTGGTAGTTCAATACAACTATCCTGGAACCTCTATTGCCAAGAATTTTCTTTGCGTTTGCCACAATCAAGCGTTGTGCCAAAAAACACGACTTTCGTATCGTTTTGAAGAAAATCTTGGCGTTTCCGTGACTCAGTTGAAGATTGGAACAGGCAGAGACGAAACATGACGAAACCATCAAAGATCATCAAAGGTTACCCTTCGGTACTCAAACGTGGCAATTGATCCATCATAAACAGTTCGATTGTTTGCCAGCTGTAAACTACTTACTGGTGCTTAGCAGGGAATTTTCGGGAATGATCCATAATCACTAATTAGTAATAATCACTATATTTTTCGATCTTTTTCTGAAAGTCATGAAAGTCACTATGATTTTCCTTCATCCTTCGCTGAGGTTTGGCTGGTTGCGGGGTATTCGGACGACCTATGACAAGGCGACGACTCGTCGAAAGATGGCGAGAAAAACCATCGGTAAAACAGGGACATCACCGATGATGGACATCGGTGTAACTGATCTACCCCCTCCAAAAAACGACTGTATAGGGTTTGCCTGGCTTCATGGTGGTTTATGATTGTTGCTTCATGTATTCATGCAGAATGCGTTCTTTGGATTTTATGACATGGCAAGATCATTTTGCAACCAAGATTTTCAGTTAAACACTCTGGTTTTACAATCCAAGGTAAAACACATAGTCGAACCAGAAAGATGGAGTTTCAATTTGACTGAACACCAATTGTTTTTTGTTTGAACTATATATGTGACATAGATCACATAGATCTTGGATTCTTAACCAACAGAAATCCCAGATACCGTAATTACCCTCTGGTGTCATTTTCGACATTGGAAAATCCCCAGCATTTTACTCTTCAAAAAGCCGATTTTCCCAGCTTTTTAAACACCATGAAAATAGTGGATTTTCCCAGCTATACCGCGTTTCATTCACCGAAAATTTTCCAGGCAGCCGAAAAACCGTCTTTTCCCTGTGATCTGAGGTGCCTTGTACCACAGATAGCTCTGTGCAAACGGATAGGCGGACGGGGCATTTTTTCTGAGGAAGACGTAGAGGAAATCCAAGAAAAAACTATGGAATCTAATGCGCATTTATAGATGAATTATGATTTAGTGAACTTAAAAATGATCCTTTTTCACTTCGCAAAGTGTTAAATCATCTCTGCAGCTGTTTGGGGGCTTTCTAGGGATTAGTCTACGGGAAAGCCACCAAACATGTTTTCCCAGGGAATTCTTTATTTGAGGAACAACGCTCCCAACGAACTGCAGGTCCACAAGCTAAAAGAAGTGGTGAGTTTGAAGCCCATTTCCATTATATCAACATATATCAACTATGAATTATATATATATATATCCATTATATATATATATATTTCTATCCCGGATAACTAAGCTCATATATCCATTAATATTGATCGCTGCGAGACATGGATTTCCCATGAAATGGGATGGTTATATCTCCATGATCTTCCCATTCAATGCTCATCCTCTTATTGTTGAATGCCGCATTTAACATCCATGAAAAAAAACAAAACAATCTCATTTTTGTTTTTAATTCATCCAGTTTTCATATCCTGTGTATATCCATGAAATATCTATAATTATCCACTATATCCATTACACCCATTATATCCGTTACATCCACTATATTCATTATATCCACAATCTGGGCCCCCCAGTTGTAAGCTGTTTTTACAACCCCATTAACGATAGTTATAAGTATCATGAACAATAGTTATTGGAGTTATAAACCAACTTAGCTATCGAGGAGACCCCACATTGCATGATACAGTATTTGTTATTATATCCGTCATTATATCTGTTGTTATATCCACTATATCCTTTTTTACATTCGTTACGTTGTTATATCCGCTATATCTATTATACCCATTATATTCGTTGTTACATCCACTATATTCATTACATCCACTATATTCCAATGATGAACTTAGTGATATATTATCATGCTATTAGCTATAATGATATTCCACATGTTCTGTTGTATGTATCCACTATTATATTATGATACTAGTAATATATCCTATCCATGGATTATATACATTAGTGATCATGATGGATTCTATATCCATATATTATGATATAAGTATCATGATCCATGATACATTAATATATCATATTCTATTATATGTATCCATATTCTATTTTATAATCCATATAATATAATCCATACAATCCATATTACAAATAATTCTATTATATGTATCCACTAGATATCTTATAACCTCTTCATCTTGTTCCTCTTTAAGCTACGCCGCATTCTCTTCAGACCCGCCATGCGGATCCTGCGGCGGAAGCCGCCCGACGCGCGGCCCGAGGCGGGAAACATTTCAAAAAAACAAGTGAAAACCATAAGTTGGGGTAGGAATTTACATAATTATCAGGATTAAGTTGGGTTAGGAATTTCCATAATTATCAGGATTAAGTTGGGGTTTTATTACATGATTATCATGCTAAAAAAGGTTGGGTTACTGCATGATTATCAAGATTATCATGTTTTTTTTTTTTTTAAATACCCATGAAAGACATTTAAAGCGCCCGCAGAAACCATTGTTTAGTAGGGTTTTTTACCCATAGAATTTTTGGGTGTTTAATATTAGGGGGATATGATTCATTTCCATGAGTTGAGATAGAAGGCCTGTTTTTTTTTTTGTAAAGCTAGTAACAAACCATCTCCAGCTCATGGAAATTCATCAACAACAACAATAATAATGAGATAATCATATTAGCCCCAATAATAATGTGGTACACCAATAATCAACCACTTCCAAAATCACCACAATAAACCATCCCCAACTTTGAGGTTTATTATTGGGTATACCGAAAAAAAAACAAAAACATCTATATTTGGGATGATGCAAACTGACCGTCACCACAATCCCAGAAGTTGGGAAGGTCCAGTAAGTGGCTTATCAGCCCAGCTATAGATGCTGAGTAGGGTAGGGTGCCTGTCCAGTACTGGCTTATAGCCGCTTGCTGTACGCCACCAAGTGGAAGGGTGAATGGGGGTGTGGCATAAAGACGAAATGTAATTTGACGAGATCTGCTTCGTAAAGTGGTACACCCCAATACATCTGGGGAAATTATAAGGATCTCACTGTGACCTCACTGGAATCATGGTTAATAAGAGGAATCATCCCAACATGGCCTTATTTCAGGTTAGTGAATTATTGTAATTTTCCCAGAATACATTAATCATCCCTTCCTCCAACTTATAGCCATATCATCCATAAAGGCGTTCAACAGGCTATAACCAACCACAGCAAAATGTGGATCTGTTGGACAATGGGTGTATGATGGGATATGGGTTGAAAACAGGGGGGGGCATTTGATATCAGGGGGGGACAGATCAAAAGGGTTTCGGATTTAATATTATGCAACAGTACCCCAGAAGTGAGGTACTGTGGTAAGCCTAAGAATAAGCCCAATCACAACCGGGGTAATGATGACGACATACCCTTTTTTTTAGCCAGTGCAAGATAGCAACCAATCAATAGCCAACAGGACAAAGTTATAAAGTAGCAAAACCTCCTTTTAAGTCCAAAGATGCAAGGCTTGGGAACATGTTTTTTTCTGTTGGATTTTTCATGGCAAGGGGCTAAATCCAAGCACCACATATGCTCAGCTGCTGACTGAGTTTGATAAGGCATGAATTTCTCGTAGCTGACTGGTTTTTCATAAGGCGCCAACAGAATTATGGTTGAATTCCAGTCTTGGTGGTTTGGTTCCCATAGAGATTCTTCAGGTGTTTTTATTCAACCTTGATGATGCCAAAAATGGCGAAACGTCCATTTCGTGGGCCACTGTTGACAACATCCCCTGGTGAGATTCCGGGTGAGAAAACATGGGTCGAAGGGCAATTGAATGAAATTGAATATGGATTTGTTTCATCATTTTAAAGTAATTGGAATCTGTAAATGTCAGACATCTGCACTAAAGTGGACATGTTTTTGACCATGTGCCTCTGATAATTCAACAAAGCTATGGTATTGAGTGCCGATTTAGTTCGATGATTTGTCTATTATTTCAATGGTGGTTTTCCATAGCTATGTAACAAATTAACAAATAATGGCTGGTTGGTGGTTTGGATCATTTTTTATTTTTCCATTCAATTGGGAATGTCATCATCCCAACTGTTACTCACTCCATCATTTTTCAGAGGGGTGGCGAAAAACCACCAACCAGAATCATGGTAACCATATTTCTCTAGAGTAACAATAACTGGTGGGACTGGTGGGTGGTTTGGAACATGACTTTTATTTTCCCCAATAGTTGGGATGATGACCCAATCTGACGTTCATATTTTTCAGGGGGGTAGGTCAACCACCAATTAGATAACGAGGTAACCATTGTCCCAACAGGTCCTGAAAAAACGCTTCCATGGGTTCCATCACTGGTATCCCAACAGGTCTTTCCCTTTGAAACGGTGCCACGTAACGAAGCTTTTTTTATCCATAGGGTGGAGCCAATCACCGGTGAAATGCTCGGAATATATTTCATATAGCCTCTGGTTATGACTAACATAGCCATGGAATAGATGGTTGATTTTCCCAGCTAGAAACCCTCCATTTATAAGGGATTTTCCATGGCTATGTTAAATAACAAGATGGTATACATACATATATATATATAGAGTCCAGTCGTGTTGTTAATCGAACCAAGGCTTGTTGTTGACGTGCCCACTAGTTATAATTGGAGTTGTTGCCATCTAACCAGAGCTGTAAACACCATGCAGCCAGAAGTTATCTTATATACAGTAAGGTGAATTCCACCAAGTACTATCATAAATCACATGGAAGTCCATACAGATCCCAATTGTTGCTGGCTAAATCTCCATGTTTGTTGGTTAAATCTCCGTTTGCGCTGTTTCTTTTTTTTTTTATCACCATCAAATATCACCAGTCTCCCTGCACTCCTGCGCCATCTTGAAGTCGACAACATAGCCAACGTTTGCCTGAAACATGTCGAAGCCAACTTAGCAAAATTCCTGTATCCCAATTAGAAACCACCAAGAAACCCAGTTATCTTCGTTGTAACCCCAAGATTCAAAAATCTCGGTGTCATCAACGACGCTCGAGGAGATGCTGGCACAGCAGCACTATAGCGCTCCAGTCCCTGGGATGCAAAACCGCCAGCGGCGATTTCTTGGGAGCTTGTTATAGTTGAATTTACCGGGATGGGATATCGGGATATAATGGAGTAATATGCAGTATATACCCTCTGGTAATATAACATAGCTATTGAGAATGACCATAGAAATAGTGGATGTTCCCATTAAACATGGTGATGTTCCATAGTTTTTTGTTAACGTTTACCAGGCCGGGCAACTATCTAACCAACTATTTGTATCTATTTGTACAATAAACAATCGGCTTCAACCACAAGAATATGGGTCGTTGATATAGGGGGAACTTGGAACTTTGCAGGAATACATTTTGGCGGTAAAACAAGCAGGGTTTCCCTGTTGATTTTTTTTGCAAAAACCAATCCATTGACAAGATATAGGGATACTGTGGGATTTAATGGTGATGTTCAACGGATTTCTATAGGATATATCCCCTGTCCCTTTTCTGCAATCAAAAATTGGAATAGATTCACCCCTTATGTGGAAAATATGGTCATGCAATATATGGAATTACAGTGACCAAAATGCATCAGGGTTTCGAAAAATGATAGGATGACCACATCCAAAAGACATCATTCCCCACAGATGGCCACCTGACAACCAGGTGAGTTTACGCAGGGGGCCCGGGTAAATTTCCTCAGTTTTTCTTTAGTATAGCATCACCCTTGGGCGGTTTTCTTCCTGGGATAATTGTGCTTCGAACCGCTGGAAGATGGGGTCCCTTTTTGGCGGGATGTTGCATTGACGCGTTCTTCCTTTCTATCCACTGTTTGTCAAAACAAAATCCAACGAAACAAAAATGAAAGGCAATTCAATCACCAGAAAATGGCATGATGAGGATGAGGATGATGAGGATGATGATGATGATGGTGATGATGATGATGATGATGGTGATGATTGTGGTGCCAGTTGACTCTCATCTTGAACAAACATCTAAGGAGTTCAGAGCACGTGTGGCAGCCGCCAAGCTGATGAACATCCTTTGGGCCAAGGTGACAGGGTCCGGGACAGTTGGCTCAGGTTTTTTGATGATTTTTTCCCAAAGATAAAGTCTTGTATACCCTCTGGTTATGTCAAAATAGCTATTGAAAATGACCATAGAAATAGTGGATTTTCCCAGCTAGAAAATGGGTGGATTTTCCAGTTCGCTATGTTAAATTACCAGAGGGTACCAGTTATAAATGGTATTCCATGAATGTGGTGACTTACAGACTTATAGTAGCTATGTCGCTCCAGAACTGCATGTTTTCATCTTACATTGGATACGTCTTGATGGTTGGTAATCTCACCGAGATCCTCTCCATGTCGCTTTGCCAAAGGGCTATCAGGAACTTCTGAGTGAAATGATACTATATATATATTATATATACAATATACACATTAATATAACTAGTGTTATTATCATTATTATTACTATTACTATTACACATACACACATCATATGATATATCGCAGAATACCACATTATATATGTATATATGCGTCATCTGCGTCATCATATCTCGTGGGCATGAGTCGGTGTTATCTTGGCTTGGGTCCACGACATCGTAAGAACTCCCACCTGAAACATACTCGGCATCGTGTCAACATGTTGAGACCACACATACTTTTGGGGATGAAGTTCTGCCTAACCTTGTTTTGCCTAATCGAAAACTCATCCTGTTGGGACCCTTTTAGTATTGACCAATTTATCGTTGAAAAGGACAAGCGAATACACAAAAATCGTGTCATGGACAGCGTTTCGAGCTTCGAATCTGAGAGATTTGTAGAAGAAAATGTTCATCGACTTCCGTTTGGGGATTTCCAAAGCCAAGTATCTCCAAAGCCACGGAAAACGTCAAGCCTTAAGTAACTTTTGATTTTTATGGGAGTGTAAATCCTATAGAATGATTATATAATGATGTAATATTATGTATTTCCCATATAATTTTGATATATTATATAATCATGTAATCTTTATGTTCTTTATTCTTTTATTTTGGTCCCGAGGGAATATCCCATTTATCCCTTGAACATGGCATGGTGCCCTGCCCCACTTAGTGAATCAGATTCTTATCTCCATTTCTGGGTAATCAATAATCACATTACCCTCTGGTAAACATACAAATAGCTATTGAACATGGCCATAACAATAGTTGATTTACCCTCGAAAAATGGTGATTTTCCATAGTTTTTTGTATGTTTACCAGGCCGGGTTTTTGTCCATTTTTGGATTCCATTTTTGGATGGTCGATGGTCGACCGTTTTTTTCCATTTTTTGATGGAAAATCCGCAGATCTATGTATGATGGTTATATATAAGAGATATATATGATGGTTATATATAAGATATATGATGGAAAACCATAGTTTTTCCAGAAAAAAAACAAAATCTAATGAAAACCCTAGTTTTTTGATGGTTATATCCAAAAAATACCCCACGTCGCCCCCCTTTTCTATGCCGCCATGATACAAAGTCATTAGACCACTATTTTGATGGTTGTTGTTCTTGATTATCCAACAAAATTGTCTATCAGAATAGTGGTATATCCAAACATTGAAATAACAGCCATTGTTGTCATTGTCGTTGTGTTTGTTGTGGTTGTGGTTGTGGTTGTGGTTGGTTGATGTTGGTTGGTTGGTTGATCGGTCGGTCGGTCGGTCAGTCGGCTGGCTGGTTGGTTGGTTGGTTAGTTGGTTGGTTGGTTGGTTGGTTGTTGTGCTTGTCCTTGTCCTTGTCCTTGTCGTTGTCGAGGTGGTCGTTGTCCTCGTCGTCCTCGTCGTTGTTGTTGTTGTTGCTGTTGTATGATACGAAATCGTTTGTATAGTTATACCAGATGTTATTATATTGCTACTATGTATTGTACTATTAAATAATAGTTATACAACTATAGTATCATCCAACAGATGTTTTTTTTCCTCCAGCCGAGTCACAGCCGTTTTCGCCATAGCCAGCCCTCAGGAGCCCTCGCAAGTGCATCTGGACCAAAGCCTTTATGGTGCTGCATTCGTGTTGCACCTTGGAAGCCTTGGCCACCGGATTTGGTAATCCTGCAACGATTCGGAAAAAAAAGTTGGGTTGTCTCACAAGATGTGACCGATATGATTCCGATAGGATTTTATGATATTTTATGTAAGTTTTTACGTGTTTTTCCACATGTTCCTCAATCCAATTTGGCGATGAAGAGTATACAGTATACATATATATATATATATACCCATAGGATCCATGTATGGTATATATGCTAACATTGGGGGTATATTGATGGTAAATGTTACCATATATAGCATACATGGATCCTATGGGTATATGTATAATCATCAATTTTGAGACTCAAACGTTGACTCGAACTTGAAGCGAAGCAGTGATTTGGTCCAGTTACGTTGGGTTTCAGTTCGTTGCTATCCGAGTTGACTCGTTCCATGGGTTTGATCAAGACTAATATACCAGTAAACCATGGTGATGTGATAGTTAATATATGGTAATATATGGTATATATATATATATATATCATTGGTTAATATATCATTGGTTAATATATGGTATACCCGGCCTGGTTATGACATTCACAGTTCGCCATGGAAAGATTCACCATGCTATTAAGAACGGTGTTGACCATCTATTTCGATTAGGGCCATCGAAATCCCATGGCGAAGTGTGAATGTCATAACCAGGCCGGGTAGTGCTATAGCAGACTCAGACTACCACCGTAGTACGCCCTGGCGAATCGATGATTTTTGCAAACCCTGGCTGCCATAAACCATTTGGGGATGGTGACTTTTGTGGTGATTTTGGAAGTGGTTTATGGATTTGGTGTACAACAATATTATTGGGGCTAATATGATTCTCAGTTATGATGAGTTGTTGCTAGTTGCTGTTGAACAATAATCATTATGTAGTGATTACTATCATATTACTAATGCTAAGATTATTTATTAAATTGATAGTCATTATATTGCAGCATTAACAACCATTATCAAGTATTACTACAACCGTGAATGTTATTGATAGTCATTGGTTATTATTGGTTATAAATGGTTATCATGAATTATTACTATTCGTTAAAAATCATTAGGTGTTAGTTATTCTCATTACTACTTACTACAACCATTAGTTTACTATTATTTTTCTATAATCATTAGTTATACTATAGCCATTCGTTATATTGGCATTATTAAGTATTTCTGCTAGTCATTCTTACTATTATTGTAATGTTTTTAGTTGTTAGTCATTCTCATGACTACTGTTGTTGTATTATTATATTCCTATTATAGTGATACTAATGTGGGTAAAACAATGCCATAAGCCACCCATTTGGGAATGGTAGCCATACAAGCTATTTACAGTGATTTGGGGGATAATTTTCTATTGTTTTACCCACATGACCTTAAATTTACCATCAAGTATCACTACTATTGTTGTGGTTACTACTATTACTACTATAGTTATACTATGTATAGTACTATTAAATTACTACTAGTTATTATTACTATGATAGTGGTACTATCTTAGTATTAAGAACTAATAGTGGAACTAATAGTACAACTAATGTATACAAACAATTGTTGTTAGTAATATTATCATAGAATTGGATGCTGGGAAAATTGAAACCGGAAACCCCTATATTTCATGGTAAAACCCATGGTTTATGGTTAAGATTTTCCCTTAAACCAATCCATTGATATTAACATGAATATTAATAACTAATAATTGTTGGTAACTAATATTGATGCATTACTAATGCATAACTATTGTATAACTATTCGAAGGAAGTCTAGAAGTCAAACTTCCGACAATATGGACCGATGGAAAAGCAGAGGTGGGAAGAGTCAGAGAAGAGAAGAGAAGAAGAGAGAAGGTCAGAGAAGAGAAAGAATGAGAAGAAAGAAGATGCAGGTGGGCGCAAAGGTATCAAAGTCGCGATTCACTGTGTTTGTCCATCAAAAACGAAACAATTCTGCGAGGCTTCCTTCAAAAAACTGAGAGTTGAGTGCAGAGCTGACGGCCTCGCACCAATGCGTTTTGCGATTTTTCCATTTCATCTGTCTAAAGTACTGCGCCTGCCACGAATTAGTGAGGCCAGGTCACAGGAAGTGCTGCACCTGTCACGCAAAATCATCTTAGGAAACCTGAAGATCTGATGCTCCAAAATGCAACCCCTCTCAGGAAATCAGTGCCCGGACCTCCTAACATCTCTGATAAACATGTCTCTTGTACTGCGCCTGCCACGCGAAAGACATCTTGCGAGATCCTCTGCAAACGTCCCTCGCCTGCCATCGTTTTAGGACATGCCACAAAACCCTCACCTTTTGCTCACTTTTGACAAGGTGCATAATCCCTTACACTACACTACACTACACTACATGCATATTCCCTTACACTACACTACACTACACAACACCACACGACACGACACGACACGACACGACACGACACGACACTCCACTCCACTCCACTCCACTCCACTCCACTCCACTCCACTCCACTCCACTCCACTCCACTCCACTCAACAACAACAACAACAACAACACCAGCAACAACAACAACAACAACACCTACAACTACAACTACACCTACACTACTACACTACACTACGCTACACTAGACTACACTATACCACACTACAGCACACAACACTACAGCACACTACACTACACTACACTACATTACGCTACACTACACTACACTAATTACACCACACCACAACTACAACTGCAACTACGCTACGCTAATTACACTACATTACAACTACAACTCCATTACGCTACACTACACTACAACTAGAACGACAACTGCACAAATTACGCCACACTACATCCAGCAGTTGTGGTGATGTGACCGCTGCAACCATTGCAACCACTCAAAAAAACAGAGCCTCAACCACCTTTCGGTCCATCAGTGTATTCGCTCTGCCATCCGCGATTCACAACAACCAACCTCTCATAGGTTTCCTATTTTTGAAGCTTCCGCCACCGCCTTGTGCGGTACTACTGGTATTAGTAACTATATAATAATGAATAATTATGGTAAAGCTAATAATAACTATTATTATGGTATAACTAATAGTTGTTAGTAATACTAACATTTTCGTTTAAAAAACTGCTAGTCCCTTACTGCGCCATGAGGCCGCAGATTGCGCGCTCCGCGGGTTGGCCCAAGGAGTTGCAGGCCGAAGGATGGGAAACTCTGGATGTTCTCATGGAAAACTTTGAAAATCCCATGAGCAGCTGGGAAAATCCAATGAACATCTAGGATTTTCCGAGCATTAAATTGGTATTATCATTGGGATGATAGTCATAATTAGGTAATAGACTATCCATTGGGATTATTTGGGTTATGAGATATTGTTGGAATAATAATAATATTGGGAGAATCAACTGGGAAATAAATGGGGGTCGTTCTAAAAGTCCACGTAAGGGTTTTTAATTGCCGCCGCCAGGGTTCCAATATGACAAATTCCATGTACGTGCTTGGCTTCCAACCGTGTACGTCCGGTATCCTGCCAAGAATTGCCTTTTACAGGCAACATATGGCAACATGAGGTTTTGAACATGTGGTAATTACCAGTATTGAAAGGCTGCATATGCAGGCTTCTCCAAACCTGTTGATTCTCCCTGGCTTCAAACTAAAGCAGCGGATCTTGCGAGCAGCTTAAGGTGGACAGAAGGAAATTTAAGGCTTTTAGATCTAGCTGAGGTGTATGTTTCTCACATGAGACTGAGAAGGGGTCCCGCGTAGCAGGGCTTCTACTTGAGTTGAACGCGGAAGAAAGAAAAGGCCTTTTTTCAGATGCGGGAAGGGGGCCGGCCAAAGAGAAGATCAGTGGCCTGATTTCAGATTCGTGAGCTATTCTGCTTTACCCAGATGTAATGATTATTAGCAATTAGTAACCATTGTTATCCGTTATTAACCATTATTAGCCATTTTCAATCGTTATTAGCCATTTTTTAACCATGAGTCCATCATTAACCATTATTAACCATTGTTAATCAGTTTAAGAACCCCCCATGAAAAAACAAACACGTACTCATGTACCATAGTCAGTTTCTCCATTCATATCCCATTTTCTATCCATGGTCTGGCCGCCTGGTTCAGCACGCCGCCTGGCCAGGTGTTGTGTTTGAAGACCTACGTGGTCTTGTGCAGAGCCCAGAGCGCGAAAAACGCTGACAAAAAATTCGGTCGTTTTTAAGTCCTTGGTTGCATATATACAAATCATATCATTTAATGTATACATACATATACACAGTGTATATATGTATGTATGTAATGTAATGTAATGTAATGTAATGTAATGCAATGTAATGTAATGTAATGTAATGCAATGTAATGTAATGTATGTATGTAATGTAATGTAATGTAATGCAATGCAATGCAATGCAATGCAATGCAATGTAATGTAATGTAATGTAATGTATGTAATGTAATGTAATGTAATGTAATGTAATGTAATGTAATGTAATGTAATGTAATGTATGTATGTATGTGTGTATGTGTGTATGTGTGTATGTATGCATGTATGCAGGCAGTATATTATATATGTATATATAAAGTCAACCCATGGGCCCATGAATTGAGATACTTTGCAAGGACGGCTACGTGGCTCATAAATCATCCAGGTGGGATGTGGCCCCCCACATTGATGGCCATTGAAACATGGGGAAATGAATTTTCAAACCATGGATTCTTTGGGTACATGTTTTTTTTTTTGGATAGGGATTTTATTAATTTTACTACTAATTTTCCGAACTTACTCTCCAGTAAACCAACATAGCTATGGAAAATCACATAAAATCACCATGTTTATGTTGATAAATCATCGAACTAAATGGGCCATCTATACCTTAGCTATGTAACAACTTCCCGGAGGGTCTCCACCACTGGCCACCAGTGCGGACTTGGCATACCATCGGTTGATTGTATCCCTTCAGGGATGAAATGTGACTTTTATCAGTCAAACCACCCCATGTTGTTATTAAGTGGAATTGGAATCCTATTCTTTTTTATGAATCTCCATGTTCATATCTTGCATTTCTCCAAAAATATCTCCATTTTGCACATTCCTTCACCTTTTCTCATGGGATGTTCCGATTTTCACGGGGGATTTTTATGACCGTCCAAGGCTGTGCAACTACGTGGTGCAATTTGCCATTTTGTACTTCATCGCCAAGGTCTGCGCGAGAAGTAGATTTCTTTGCCAGGTTGTATACCATTGAATACCTGTACATATATATACATATATCAACTACATTATATATATGATTATATATGTGTATATATATACAGTAAACATTATATATATACAGTATACATAATATATATATATACACGTACGTTTCTATTTACAATTCGATGTTTTGTTATTTGTATATTCTTTCGGTGATCGTTATTGTTTATATTTATTCTTATTGTTTATATATATATATATCACTCTTCATTGCATATACGGATTTTGATATAGGATTCATCATTGGTGAATGTGATTGAACAATGTTGTGGGTGGCCAAAAGATATGACTTTCTTACATGGGATTTTGTCAAAACCTGGGACATCAATCAGGCTTCGTCAGAAAGAGGCTACGCGGAAAAACTGACCCATCCTTTTGAGCAGTGCATGTGCTACACGTCTTGTGCATGAACGCAAACATTATGTCATCATGAGGGTAGTGCCCAAATTACCAACCGGTAGATTGTGGAATTGAGGTTGTACCCACCTGTTTATATAGGAACTAGTACGTAATGCATTGAATTCCCATAGTCCAGCCAGTCTTTCATGAACTAAACAATGCGGCGAATTTCGGCCTGGATGGGAAGTTTCACCAATTTGAATCATTTTCCCGTTACAATACAACTTCCCCATTTTTGAAAATCCCCATAGTTGCCCTCTGGTAAATAAACATAACTATGGAAAATCACCATTTTCAATGGGTAAATCCACTATAATGGTCATTTTCAATAGCTATGTTAAATTACCAGAGGGTACCAACAAAAAACCCAGGAGAATGTTGTCTGGAATCTCTTTTCCGGACAGATGTTCTTGTGTTACTTGGCGATGACTGTGACCGTCTGTGACCGCTGTTACGAGATGGACGTGGAGGGTAAAACCATTTTTCCAAAACCAGCTGAAATGCAGCCGAACACTGACCATGAAAGACGGACCTTTTTTGTTTTTTCTTTTGAAGTTTTTTGTTGGGTACATTTGTGAAAGAACAGGACACCATATTTAAGGAGTGTTTTTTGTAGTCATCCAACGTGACAACCATTCGCAGATGAGCACGAATCAACTCAAATTTGGATGATTCACACTGGTTGGTGGTTTGGAACATTTTTTATTTTTTCCATATATTGGGAATAATAGTCCCAACTGACTTTCATATCTTTCAGAGGGGTTGAAACCACCAACCAGCACACTTAAGCATGAATCAACTCAAAGTTGGATGGAACAACACGGTTTTTCAACTTTCTCTCGCGGATTCGCGGCGCACTGAGGCGACTTTGGGAAAGACGCCGCGTGTAATGCCGGCCCTTTATTAAGTTATGCCAAAGTGGACAGGACAATTGGGGAATTTGAAGCTTTCACTGGGCTCCCGACATGTGAGTGTCAAGAACCCATTGGTATATTGCTAAAAAAAGGGGTTCTACTAACCGAAAAGGGATGAACCAACCATCCATCATTGGAATATAAACAAATCAGTAGAAACAGTCCGCAACCAGCTTTTTGACGCTTCTCAAGTTGGTTCGTGAACTCCATTATAAACCTTGGCCAAATATGGGGCAGCACCTTGTTGGATGTATGACTGAGATATAAAAAGGAGAATGGTACCTGTACAGATGGTAAATTGACAGAGTCTTGAGAGACCGATTGGTGGTTTGGAACCATGGAATTTTATGACTTTCCCACCATATTCGCAAGGGAAAAATCATCCCAACTGACTTTCACTCCATGATTTTTCAGAGGGGTGGCGAAAAACCACCAACCAGGAGAATGTGGAAACATTGTAGAGTGATTACCTCCCAGATTCAGAACGCCCATGGTCCTATGGACTATTACGACTTCAGATGGCCAGTTTCCTTTCAGTGCCACGGGTCAGCTTCACCTGAGATGAACCATGGAAGATGTACCAAGATGCCTGGGCACATATAATATTTACAGTACATGGTTTTGTCTGCAAAATGTGCTAATTAGCCTGAAATCCAACGGGTTTACAGTATCATCTTCCCTGTTAAAGTGGCCATATTGGGGTGATAAATCCACAATTTGCCGACACAGAAAAACGCATCATGGCCTACACCCTGTCTGCCTTGAAGACAAGTTGGTTCGGGGAAGGGATTGCTCACTTCCCATCATTTGCTGGTTCCTGTATCCCTAGTCTTGCTGGCTCATCCCCCATTCTTGGTGGCTAAATCTTGGTTCTTGTGGTGCTCTTTCCGTATTTGGGAGGTTGCTCAAATTTATCTCTCTATTACCATCTGGCTATTTAACATAGCCATGGCAAGATCCACCATTCTTAAGAACGGTGAACCATCTATTTCTATGGGCCCTCTATACTATACCATGGCTATGTTAGTCATAACCAGAGGGTATTGTTTATCATGGCAGTTCAAGGTGGCAGTGGGAGTGATGTGGCAGTTGCAAATCCCAAACCTGTGGAGGACCAGTCTTGCAGCTATTGACATGGGCCCAAGCCGACCACTTTTGAGGGCTGAGTCAGATTTTTGTTGGTTAAATCATGCTAAATCAAATCTCATCAGATCCCTATTTCTCCAAATCCCGATTTTTCATGGTTGAATCATCATTTCAGTTGGCTGAGTTCTCAGTATTGCTGGTACTTGAGCCCCTATTTGTGTTGGTTCTGCCGCGTGTTTTGTTGATTGCCGGTTACCAAATAAGCCCTCCAGTTTAGTTTGTTTTACTTTCTCATTTGGAGGTTTCCTAAAATAGTGGTACCCCCAAATCATCCAAGTCATAAACGACCATTTTCGTATTGAAACAACCATGGTGACTTGGGGATCCCTCATCTAAAAACATCCTTTCCGACACCTCCAACTCACTATATATAACATGATATAACTAACCTATGTTTTCCCATCATATTCCCATGAAATCCCTTATAAATCCCTAGGTTTGGGGATCCACGTGGTGACCCCTAGGTTTAGCCTCACTCCCGCCTCGCAGCGCCGCCAGCCTGCCCGGATGGGCCCAACTGCATCGGCCCGGGAGGGACGGTCTTCACCAATTCCAGGTGAGCGCGGAGCGCGGAGCGCGGAAGAAGAATGGATAGTCTAATATGGGAAGTTAAATATCTATGGTATAAGTTATATATCTATGGTACAATGGTATACTGGGTTTGATGTTATATGGTATAATTAATGGATATATATATATAATATATATATAATATATATATAATATATATATAGTATAATGGTAAAATGGTATAATGGTATATCTATGAATTTTAGTACGCAATGATCCAAAGATGGGGAATGATATGGCATAATTCCAAGCCATAATCCCAATGATCGATGCAGATTGGAATTATTTGGATAAATTTCATCACGACCTCACTGTTCTCCCGAACCCTGGAATCATGGTTAGTAAGGGAAATCATCCCCAAATGGCCGCAAGATTCAGGTTAGTGAAATATTATAATTTACCCAGATATATGGTATAAGTGATATCTATGGTATAATGGTATATTGGGTTTGATGTTGTATGGTATAATTAATGGATATATATATATGGTATAATGGTTAGATATATATATATATATCTGAGTTTTTTTGATGTTATATCGAACGCTTTTCTTTGTAAGATATTTGAATTAATAAGTGGCTTTTCAATAACTAGTAACTTACTAACCAATGGTAATATTTCATAGCAATATACATAGTATAACTACAATAGTAATAGTAGTAACCACAATAAAAATAGTAGTGATACTTAATGGTAAATGTAAAATATCGTGGGTAAAACAATTTCATATCTATATATATACACATGTCCACATGACCAAGATCCTTACGTGGCCCTTTATTTTCTTCACATCGCAGATATTATGCCTGGAGTCAATGGAGCGCGCGGACCTTTGCACGGGATTCCATGAAGGCGTCCGTCCGTTTGGGACGGGGGGATCCTTTTGGGATCTGTGGATTGGATGAGTTTGGATGGTGACCAGTGGGATGGTGATCGGATTTTTTATTCTTAAATGACTTAAATGACTGATTTTAATGTCATCTAAGAATAGGATGATTAAGAATCATTGGATGATTTTTGTGATGATTCTTTTTGTTGTGCTTGTTTTAAGGTGGTTCTGGTTGTGTTGATCATCGTGCCAACTTTCTTGTTGTTCATGATTCCTGAATTGTTTCACAGTGATGACGATGATGATGATGATCATCATCAGAATATGTTTATTCTCATCATGTTCATCATCTTCATTAGCAACATTTTCCTCATCATAGTCATCATGATCATTACCCTCCAGTAAATTAACATAGACCCTGCCAGATAGGGATTGGAAGACTAGTTTCCACTATAAATTGGTCATTTTCAGGGTCAAACTGTTAATTTACCAGAGGGTATAATTAACATTAACCCGGAGGAAGAGTAGAAGCCAGTTGTTTGGCTCCCACGAATCCAGAAGCTTCGTTTCTTTGTCATATGGGGAGGGGCGGCTGCAGTCCACATGTCTGATGGGCTACAGCAATGTTGAAAATGGCTAGTTTTTTGTAGTTGATCAGAATCCCAAAACATTAATATCAGAAAAGATAGAAACGGGGTAAAACCATGATCTCACCTACCATTTGGGGGTGGTTTATTGATTTTATAGAACCCATGAAAATGGTGATAACTTGGGGATGGTTTATTATTAGCTCCAGCATATTGTACACATAATCCCCACATCTTGTATATCCCAAATTATCATCATATTTCTGGCTAGATATGATATGATATACTATGCTGTAATATTATATTAACGATGATGAGTTAGATGGGGTATCATTTGATATTTTACTAGGTATGCATATAATTTGTTGTTGTTGTTGGATATGTATAAATGATATTTATTCGGGGATATTTTGGTTAGATCTTGGCAGGCACTCTTTCCAGACGAGCTGCCAGACATTGCCAGGTGCAATGGAAATGATCTGCAATCTAGGGGGGTTCCATCTATGTTTGAATTTTGTAGATCAAACAGATCAGAGCATATATCATGATCTATAGTTATTGAATCATGCACAGCTTCAATGTTTATGAAGGTTGATATAAGGTCACACGTGATTTGTTAAAGTCACATGTTACCCTCTGGTAATTCAACATAGCTATTGAAAATGGCAAATTTATAGTGGAATTACATAGTAAAAATTGTCATTTCCCATAGCTAGATTTTACATAGATTGATCATTGTGTAGTCAACCGGTTGGGGAAACATGGTATCATGGGCAGTCTGTGCCATGATAAAAACATGGGATGGTCGTCCCGAGAGAATGGGAATTCACAAAGCCATCATTTTAGGAATCACATACATATATGATGACATATGGGCCATATGGGTATTTAATATGGTTATCCATTTAATATGAGTCAATGAGTCAATAACCATTCCACATAGTTGTAGACTAGCCTGGGGGTTGTTATGATGATGATGATGATGATGACGACCAGGACCAGGGCCCCATTTGTCCCACAAAAACTTGACCATGGCACTGCTGACAGGTGTTTCGCCCTGATCGGTGGTTGTTGGTGATGGTTGTTCGATCCTGAATAAACTCTGGTTATTGGGTCCAAAATTTGTTACCCTGATGATATAAGAGTATCAACATAGTATCTCATTCAACCATTCAACCATTCAACCATGCAACAACCCATCAATAGACTCTGTACCACGGTTGAATGCCCTGATGTGTGTGAAAACCACAGCCATGATTGGGAGTGCGAAGATCGTCGTACCATTTGGATTGGAATGGGTCACCTCTATATAGAAATCCCATATGACTCCCCTGGGTTTTAGCAAATTGGAAATCCTGGGCGGAAATGGAAAACCCGCGATCGATCATTTCTTAGGGCAACCATTGGTTTTTGCAGGGTCGGAAATCTGTGAACATCCCGATGAACAAATGTTCCATTTGTCTCCTGCCAGAGCATAGTTTCACTATTTTTTTTACCCTCTGGTAAATAAACATGTTGGCCCTGAAACTCACCTATTTTTAATGGACACTGGACACTTCCAACCCCGACAATTGGCAGGGTTGAACTGTTAATTTACTGGAGGGTAAATGGTATATTATTATAACTGCAAGTAATATACTATAATTTTCATAGAATTGGTATATTATACTATTAAACTATTGGTAATTTATAGAAAATCCCAGGTTCTCTGGGGAAAGCCATGCAGAAAACCTACCTCGCCAGATATGCAGATCCTGGGGAATACGGCCTTGAGAGCCACACATGTCCCGTGGACGAAGCGAATGGAGATTTTCTGCTTTGGAGTATGGGAAAATATGGGGCAATTGGGAAAATCTACAAGAAACCCTCTGGTTCTAATTGTTGATCATTTTTTTAGATTTATTTGTTCTGCTTTCGCTGCTTTTGGATGGGAAACATCCCCTCAAAATCCGGTTTTCCCATCGGAAGCGTCGCAACATCACCCAAAAAAACCGAGGTTTTCGCAGAACGGCGGACCCCTACCTAAGAATATCCCATTTCGGATGATGTTTGGGATTCCAATGTTGTCCTAAAAAAGACCACATGTATACAATGTGTATATATATATTATATCAATGCATACTCTATAGACATCTAGATTCCACATGTTGTTTTGTTTTTTTTGACAACCAAAAAAAAACGCAGTCATCAGGATGTTGTCGCAGCGCAAGGGATTCGCCCACTTCCTAGCAGGAAACCCAATGCCATAAGTAACAAAAAATGATTTTGGGGATTGTTTGTTTTTGGGTTTACCACATTTGTATTCATGGTGATATGTTAATAGCGCCTAGGGCCTATGATATTTATAATGACTTTACTGGAGATCATTATTGGGTGATGGCTGGTGTTTCCTTTTGAATTGGTGTCTTTTATATTTGCAGGGCGGTCGTTGTGGTACCCAAACGTGGCCCATTTGCACGAGTTGAAAGGTCATCGACCCTCATTCTTTTGTAAAGCTTCAAGTCAGGCATCAGGCAACAATGCTCATTCTTGTTGGAAATTGTTGGTTGAAAGATGACACATCTAAAATTCACCTCACAAATCAATGTATATCACTTCTATTTCTCATTTCTTCTGCTGGTTCACCAGTTTCAATATGTTTCAATCCCAATTTTCCAGCATTTTACCAGCACTTTCCTGCTTTTTCAATGCTTCCTCCACTGCTTTTCCCGCAGAAAACACGTCACTTACCGTCGCCACCGGTCTGAGGCCGGATGGTCTGCTGCATGCTCTTCGTGGTCACCGTGCTCAGCGATTTGCCGCTTGGTCGCCAGGCAGTCCAGGTAGTCCCAGGCCATCCCCAGGATACGCTAAGCTCTGGGGCATTTTTCACCGTTGATTCATCTAAGAATCTAAGAATCTAATGGGATGTGTGGCTTCAGAACTCGGAGAACTATGTGAAAAATTAGTAGGGTAAATCATTAGCATACCCTCTGGTAAACTAACATAGCGAACTGGAAAATCACAATTTTTAATGGGAAAATCCACTATAAATGGCAATTTTCAATAGCTATGTTAAATTACCAGAGGGTAATTAGCAGTGTGTCCATAACATTCCATAACTATGTGAAGTAGTAGGGTAAATCATTAGCAGTTGTGCAATGATAGATTTAACAGCCCTGGAAATACATTGAAATACCGCATTAACACGTACTGGATCGTACTGGCTTTACCATTGTTGATCAGATAAAACAGATGCCCCATTACGCTACCCCAAGAAGGCCCTTAGTAAACATGAAAATATGTTGCCAGTGGTTAACCAAGTTGGTTTATAACTAGGACAACTATGAATAACTAGGGTTTATGGTGATTGTAACATGTTCAAACTATAGATACTGGTTGGCTGTTTCAACAGCTGTCTATGTTCAACATTCGTGTTCAAGCATATATTTGGAATGGTCATTCCTCGTTGACGAGAAGATGTTTTTTCGTGTTTTTCAAAACCACCAGGATGGTCCAAATATCCACTGGTTGATGAGAACCGCTGGCAAAGCCATAACCATTCTGGGTAGCTGATGGTAAATTTTCTTTGCCACTCATGGGTCCCAAACTTTATATAGATATCCGATATGGGCCCAGCGGGACAAGTGAATCACATTCAAATGGATGGTGAAAATGTAAAGCTTCAACATGCTTCAACTCTCCACACTATGATCATCATCATCTATAATCCACAATCATCCGCTATCATCCAGCTATCATCCAGTAGTGTTTCTTATTTGGACTAGATGAATTTTGGATCGGACTTCTACAGATACAGTCCACCACGGCTCCAGCAGTTGTAATTGGATATTTTCCAACCAGTACAATAAACTGACAGCAAGTGGCTTTTGAACACGGCTTTTTAATGTTGTGATTTAATCAACTGTTGTGTTTCGTTATTTTTTCTGATTCACTAAAAACCAGTTTCAGAGTTACACTCCCCCAAATTCACATCGACCCTTCTAAACAGTGATTTGGAAAACTCGTTTCCACAAAACATTGGCCGTTTTTTTCAGGGTCTATGTTCATTTGGGGCCCCTTGGGGCATGGGTAAATCATGGTAAATCACCTCAAAACCCGGTAAATTCAACACCTTTGATGATTCCAGGCTTGGAAGCTTCAACTTGGCCTGGTTGATGAATAGCATCGAGAGCGAGGCCCAGGGACAAGTCGGCCAGTTTGGGTCGGATGCTAAGCATCCAAGCAGCATCGACAACGACTGGTGTTTTGTTGGTTGAAGATAGCGATTTCTGAGTTTTAGCACCATCTGAGATTTGGAGTTTACCAGTTTACCATCAAGAATCGTGGTGTTTTTAAGGTAAAACATGGGCAGATGAGCCAAGAAACATGGTAACATGGTGGAAAAATGGGAATTTGTGACTTGGAATTCAGAATGGTTGGGTGGGTTTGGATCCAAAGTTTTTAACTCCCAGAATTAGAGAATTGAATTCGCCCCAAAAATCTGGCGTCCAAAAGCGTCCTTACTTTCTCCGGGGTTCTCCACGTCACATACATACATATACAATAATTATATATATATAGATAGATAGATAGATAGATAGATAGATAGATAGATTAGATAGATTAGATAGATAGATAGATAGATAGATAGATAGATAGATAGATAGATAGATGGATGGATACATATACATTATATATATATATTTATACAATAATTATATATATACATATACATATATATATACACATGTATGATACAGATAGATAGATGGATAGTAGGTAGATAGGTAGATAGGTATTAATCAATAGGGCGTCCATGAGAGCCCATTTTGGAACAACCTTGGCATGTGCTGGAGACCTTATTCAAACTGACGTTTTTGTCAGCTTTCGAGGTAAATCATCATGTGAATGTACATTTGCCGTGAAAAAGACATGGTTTACGGTTTAGGGTACATTTCCATGAAACGGGATGGTAATTCCTTGGAAAGGATGTGGTCATACCCATGATGTTTGGGTTCCCAATATGGGATGGATGACCATCATATATCAATGGGAGATCTTCAGGATCCTAATGCAGGCACGTTAGTACCATATAAGTTATATTTTGTGGGGAGATTCCCTTACCTATACATAGGCCTCATATATGGTAGGTACCTGCAATAAATCGGTTCCTGAAATGGCCATTGAATATAACACGTAACTTGACAATGGCAGATATAGTTCAAGAGTTGAGACCTGAGCATGGGGCTATACCCGAAAACAAGAGCCAGCAACCCAACGAGAGTGTTTGAAAATGCGATACCGCAACAATTCCATGCTGTACCTATGGCCTATTACCAGTCATGAGCCAGTAAGTCACCCCATTCATGGAATTGCTATATGTGCAACATTTTATAGCCATAAAAATATTCATTTATAACTGATAAAGGGCTTTAACTGTAGCAGTAACCTGAGCAGGATGGTCTGTGGATCGATTGGGAACCGCCCAAACAAAGCGCTTGGGCCAGCAAGGACGGGCCAAATTTCTTGGGATGATGTGGTGCCGTACATAGAATAGATATATTATATAGTATACCGACAGAAACAATATCATTCATCAGTCATTGAATTAGATGGATGAAGTGATTAAATCGTACAAGATAGATTTAACGTACTATAGATGAATCAGATGGATTAACATACTATCTATTGAATGATTCAAACATGTTGAGGCTGGGCTAGCCTGACAGGACACCGCTTGTCTCAGGAAGGCTCCCAGGGCTCTACCATGGTGATGTACATCCCACAGAATGATAGAAATCCCATAGAACTCTTTGAGTTTTACTACGAAAAAACATGAACTTTTAGTCCAAGTATACGGGAAATATGTGGGTGGCGAGTTTGATTTGAACTCCATTTTTACATGTTTGAAGCTTGGATTATATTCACCCCATGTCAGGGGATGGTAAAAGCTGTAATCAATCCGGAATTTACATACCCATGATTAGTTTGGATTCCCATCAAATGTCATGGATTACCATAGCCTTTTTTCAGTATATCACTTATGAAAAATCCCACGAAAAATTCCAACACGATATTCCCAAAAAATGCTTGGTTTTTCCTGTGAGTCCCATTGATATTCCGATAGAGTCCCATTTAATATACATAGCCATTACATACCCTCTGATAATTTAACATAGCTATTGAACATGGTCATTTATAGCGGATTTTTCCATTAAAAATGGTGATTTTCCATAGTTATGTAAACGTTTACCAGGCCGGGTACTTATCATTGGTGAAATCTTCCTTTCGAATCCTTCCATGGTCTCCTCTAGTTGGACAACTGCTCCATCCTTCGCACAGGAGCATGCCAAAGTGGTGATGAACTGCGCGGAGACCCACTTTGTGCAACTGAAAATCGCAGGTCCTAAGCCGGGCTGACCGGCTGGCTGAGGAGTTGTGATAGGGAGCTAGTGGTGGAGATTTTTACATGGGGAATGAATTGATATGAAACATGGATGACAACTGGTGACAATTGAGATTTATGACATTATCATATATTATCTAGGCCTAGGCTACATATACTCCATATCATGAACTTCATATTTCAGGAGGACATGGGGCCGCCCATAAATCACTTGAGAGCAGTGACCATTTAATCCTCGTGTTGACACCTATGTTGACGGTGACATCAGGGCTCATGCAGGCCATATACCTGGTTTATTGATGTTTATTGGAGATACCGTGGAAAAGTGGGAAATCATAGGGCATACTTACACCAGTGTCACGAGAATCTCATGACCTGGCGCAGCTCCGTGACGCCGTGCGATTGAGAGAGGCATGCCTCTCCATTGGAAAGTGCTGAATTGGTTTCTGATCTTGTGCCTCGGCCGATATAATTTTTGAATGTGAGTTGGGTACCCGAAACCATCACCGTGACCAGCCTAGGGATGACCATGGTTTTTCAGGACAAAAGTGAGCCAGGGGGAAGTGGCCACCAAAAAAGAACATGAAAAAACCCTTGGTTTTTTGGGATATGATGGGATATTCCTATAACTATGATGGGATATTCCCAGCTAACTATTATGGGATATTCCCAACAGTAACCAGCTATAGGCCATAGGCACTTCACAACCACGAAAAAAACCCTTGGGATATAACGGGATCATTCGACTGCCGATGCCGATGAAATGACCAAATGACCCTACGAAGCGAATCAGGACTGGATAGAATATCAGGATTTGGTTTATGATTGGGTTTACAACCTTAAGCGCTATGATTGATATGATATCTTTTCCTGTGAGCTAGTAGATTTCACAGTTGATCAAAGGCCATACAAGAGCCTTAAAACGAAAACAACAAGAACTAGATAGATAGCCATGGAACAAACAACATATTGACTTCGATGATTTTGTCAATTTCAATCCACAATATTAGTTGGGGAATTGCCCAACCATGATAACTGAAAGATATTAGGATGATTAAGCCATATTCAACCATATTAAACCACATGAAACCATCATAAACCATATTAAACGAGATTAATTAGTGAAGGGAATTCCCAGCTAGCCATGATTTTTCATATTTTTCCACTCGGGAGATGGAGATGATTCCCAGCTAAACCTCGCCTAAACGCTCGCCTTAGGTTGCCAAAGCTGGCGCTTTGGAGGGTCACCACAGAAGCGGGCATTGTGTTTCTCATGGAGACACAAGGCCGATCGAGATCTCGATCCGAATCGATCCCCAGATCCGATTTGAACAGCCGGAGGACATTGGAGTGGCAGGTGGTTTTCATTGATGTCTTCAGTATAGATATGGTCTGAATGATTGAATGGAAATCGTTTTATGTGAACTTGAATGGGATAAAAACATGTTGATTTCATGAGGCATATGAATCGTATGCAAATTGAATTTGTCAAGGAAGTGAAATGGCATTGATCGGATATGCATGTTTTGAAACAAATCATGTGATGTTCGGATCCGGAATGGTCATGGGAAGCTATAATTCTTGGTGAATTTTGACCGCATTCGACGACATCACGAAAAAGTATGGATAGTACAGGGAAGCTTCCCAAATCACAGGTTATATGTTGTTTTCTTGTTTTTTTTCTCAAAGATAGGCTGGTCAATTTTGGCATTCAACAGGCAGTATACTATAGATTTCGCTACAGTAGCCACCATGAATGTAGATCATTTCCGGTTTCCCCATGGGTTGTCATCACGCTGCTACTCGTACAAGGTGTTGCCCCAAAACGTTAGCTATGTTGTTTTATAATGTTTTATATACGTATAAGATCGTATAAGTAGAATAGCAAAGGTTTATTGTGGTGACATAAATATAGTTAGATGGGTTTTGTAAACCAACAAACATACCCATAGAACGATAGTATGGTTTAAGTGCAATAAAATAACTGTCACTATAGTTAGACAAGCTTCAACTTGCCACTTTTTGTTTCATTACTCATCTTTCTATCTCTTCCAGTAGCCTCCAAACAATAGATGTTCCTTTGATCAGCCCTCGAAACGCTCCAGAGAACCCGCACCAGGGATCGAAGATTTGGTGGTGAATTCCGTGGCTTTAGCCTTTATCTTGCAGATCGATGAGTTGCTCTGTTCCGAGCTCCTTGGTGCCTGGCTGGGCTGAAGTGCGAAGTTGTTCGCATCGAATTATTCAAAAGGCTGGGCTGAGGTGAAATAACGTGAGGACTGTTTAAACAATAGGTCACCGCCGAGTCATGGAATGATATGAATGGCCTGAAACAGCAACCTCATAGTGACCTCACCACATGGCCAGCTAGTGAGGGATTTGTTCTGAGTCATCCTCGAATCTTTGTGAATAAATTTATGGTAGATATGTCTTTAGTTACTGGGGACTATAAACCAACTTATATTATTATATATTTATATACTTATATAATATATATATGATATGATTTAGATTCAGGAGGTATAGTAATTCACCCAGATGATATGGATGTGAGATTTTTTGGGTGAAGTCTGGGATGAAAGGGAAGTGGGTGCTTGTTGCAGAGCAGCTGAACATTGCCAATCCAGTTCTATTTTTTGAAGCCAGATGTGTTGTGATCCAAACATCCCATAGATCTCTATGAGAGTTATATGGATGTGGGTCAAAATGGAAGACCGATGTGGGACCACAGATGTGAATGTCTAGTTTAGTATTAACCATCCAATTATTGGGGCACCTAATTTTGACCCATACCCATATTCTTAGAGGGAGCTGTTGGTAGGACCGAAAGCACTCACATCTGACACAGCCTGTTCCACGGGTCAAGATCTCTGGGATGGATGGCTCAACAGCTCAACAGCTGTGTCAAATGATAGAAAGGCCTGTGTCAAATTCTAGCAAATCCGAGCCTGTAATGTTTGGTGCGTTGTTGATCAGAGTATATATTAGTATTATATATATATATATATGTATGTATATATATATATACATCTGTATGAACAAATGGGGGTATGTTCATGGACATGTCGCAAAGTACCGGAAGTTGTTCCAGAACTTGTATGGCTTAATGACACTTCAGGTTGCATCATTGGAATACCGTTCTTAACCAACCAGTATAGGCTTTCCATCCCCAGACTGCCGTTTGACCACGATAAATCATTGATGCTTTTGGTGGTATAAACATGTTTCAACCATCGTTCAACACTTCCAATCCCTATGATATCAACAACATATGCGTTCAATTTTATATACATAGATATGATAATCTGATATCCATAAAATATATACATGGATATCAGGCATACTATTCAGCTATCAATATTAAATATAGAACCTGCAGGACTCATGCGTTTTCCGGCGCCTGAGGCTGATGAATGTGAAAGTGTTCGGAGACCCGGAGACCCGGAGACCCGGAGAAGCGGAGGGAGTTCTGATTGGGCTATGGTGTTTTTCTATGATGGTACCCTCTGCTAAACTAACATAACTATGGAAAATCACAATTTTTAATGGGTAAATCAACTATAAATGGACATTTTCAATAGCTATGTTAGTTTACCGGAGGGTGTGGTGTTTATCTATGATGGTAATGATGGTGTTGATATAATGGGATATCATGGGGTTTCATTGTGCTGCCACACAGCTATGATAATAATTAATATTTGGAGGGTACATGGTTGATATGATAAACGGGATGCTATATGGGATGATATATGGGATTGAAAGGTATTTCCCACTGGTAATCTACCAGTTTACGAACTGGAAAACGACCATGATTAAACTAGGTGGGCCATCTATAGCACACTGAGAGTTTACCATAGGGTATAAGAAAGACCCCAAAGATAGGTGGATATTTGCCTTCATAAGATAGGTATCAAAACATGCGGATGGCAATTGTAAGCTCAGCAAGCCATGAACACTGATGTAATGTAGCATAAACCATAGTTATTTGAGAAATAAATGCACCAACTTGGCGACCGTAAATCAGCTCTAAATCCCATCAATAATATCCCATCAATAATTTCCCGCACTATCCCATTACCCTTTGGTAAATTAACAGTTTGACCCTGAAAATCACCAATTTTTTTCATGGAAACTCAGAATTTCCAACCCTGACAATTGGCAGGGTCGAACTGTTGATTTACTGAAAGGTAAATATCACATTAAATCACATTCTGAATGGGAAAACTCACTATAAATTGCCATTTTCAATAGCTATGTTTGACATAACCAGAGGGTAATTTTTTTTCGTCTTTACCATTCAAATCCCAGGAAAATCCGTGGCCAAGGCAACAGCTCCTGGCCAAGATGAATGTGCAATTGACTGGTGCCGAGCGGATTGTGGATGTTTGCTGGGCTTTGAAAAAAAGATTTTGAAGATATTTGAATATTTTTTCATATTTAACATATTATAATTATTATATAATATAATATAATATTATATTATAGTATACTATGCTATATTATCATATTTGAAAGCTAATCATCCAAACGAATGTATTTTCATTTTCAAAATTTGGGATTTTGTATATTTGAAGATATTTGAACATGTTTGAACTATGAGGGATTTGAAACAGCCGACACAAAAATGATATGAGAACAACATGTCGATTATTTTTTGTTGTGGGGGTTTGACAAAAATCAAAGAACGATGACAATTGAATGGGATGATCATGTTCATGGGTTTTGTGCATCTGCAATATAGTTCACAGAAACGAAATGGGCATGATAAAGACATTTAATTCGGTAAGTATAATAATAATGTGAGAATTAGCATCCAGAAGTTGAAATTCTAGCTTTTTCGCCTACTGGCATTTGATATGTCGCCAACAAACATTTGTTTCCATCAGAATTTGAGATTTTCACCAAATGACCAACACTGGATTTTTTGAACAATGCGGATGAAACCAGCATTGCAAAACGCGTTTTCACTACACCCAGAGTACTCCCAGGCTGCTAGATATGGGGCTGAACTTGGCTCGAAGCGGATTCAGTGGATGGTTCGGTAGTAAAAAGTAAGGACAAAATGAGGTCCTCAGAGTTAAAACAGCCAATTTCACCACATCCTTGACCCTTGAGATTGGTTTCTAGTCATCTTATCCTGGATGACGTAAAACCACATTTGCTTCCAACTTTCACCAACGGGTGATTTTTCCAAAATCCTGCATCAGCATGATTCACCATTTTTCACCATTGTTTCACATGATTTTTCTTCAGTTTTGATCCTGTATGGTGCTGATCCGACTATGGATGATTTCACCATGCCCTGGCCCAGCAGCTGCCAGGTGATGCTGCCTTCATCAACGAAGTGGAGCGACGGTTTTCGGCGAAGGGTTTTCGACGAAGGTTTTGTGGATGAAGATAGAAAACACATGGAAAAGGATTGAAAAGGGACTTGCTGTAGACACATCTGAGTTTCTTCAGTGGTGTTTTCAAACATGTTGGGAAAAGACTGCCATGCAGTTGAGAAAATAATATGTCCTTTGTTATTGTTGGCTATGTTGGCTGGGACGTCGGGCTCCATCGCGCAGAACAAGCTCATTTCCTCCCGTAAAATACAGGGCATTAACGGCTGCCCAAGTCATTTTTCATTGGCGAACGCACTTCTTCGTGGGGGTGCCATTTTACATTGTTATTTGCAATGAATTTGAGCATTATCTTCAAACAAGGCTAAAGATTCCGATGAATGTCATTGACATTGTACTTTTCGTGTTGGGGTGGGGGGTTTGGTTGGGGGAGGCTATAATAACGTTCTGGTTTTTGTGTTTTTAATGCAATGCTGTTGAACTTTCTCACTTTCTGAAGCAACTTTCAAGACTTTATTGATGCTACGCTCTTGACTTTTCTGGAATTGTCAAAAGACGATGGCTGGCTGGCTGGCTGGCCGGCTGTATGATCTTCCAGTGTGATGCAGAAGGCACGTGAAGACAAACAGTTTGAGGCTCTTCAATCCATCACATTTATTCTATATTCCACCATTCCACATCGTGTACGCACTTGGTGATGTGAATGGTGACGAACATGAAGATGAAGATAAAAGATCAAAGATCAAATGAAGATGATGATAAGAAGAATAAGATGAATAAGAAGATGATGATGCTGCTGATGATGATGATGATGAAGAAGAAGATGATGATGATGCCGACGACGACAACGACGACGACGACGACGCCGCCGACGACGACGACGATGATGATGATGAAGAAGATGATGATGATGATGATGAACAAGATGATGATGTTGCTGCTGATGATGATGATGCTGCTGCTGATGATGATGATGATGGAGGTGAAGATGATGCTGCTGCTGCTGATGATGATGCTGCTGATGATGATTATGATGATGAAGAAGAAGATGATGATGATGATGATGATGGTGATCATGATGAAGAAGAAGAAGAAGATGATGATGATTATCGTGATGATGATGAAGATGATGATGATGAAGAAGAAGATGATGATTATGGTGATGAGGAAGAGGAAGAAGATGATGATGATGATGAAGATCAGGATGAAGATGATGCTGATGATGATGATGATGCTGATGATGATGATGATGATGATGATGATGCAGATGAAGATGAAGATGAAGATGAAGATGATGATGATGATGATGATGATGATGATGATGATGATGATGAATATGATGCTGATGATCGTGATGATGATGAAGAAGAAGATGATGATGATGAATAATATGATGATGATTATGGTGATGAGGAAGAGGAAGAAGAAGAAGAAGATGATGATGATGAGGATGATGATGATGATGACGATGACGATGAAGATCATGATGAAGATCAAGATGATGGTGATGATGAAGAAGAAGATGATGATGATGCTGATGATGATGAAGAAGAAGATGATGATTATGGTGATGAGGAAGAGGAATATGATGATGATGATGATGATGGTGCTGCTGATGATGACGATGCTGATGCTGATGATGATGATGATGATGAAGATGATGATGATGATGATGCTGATGATGATGCTGATGATGAATATGATGATGGTAGTGGTGGTGATGATGATGCTGCTGATGATGATGATAATATGCGCGGGCCGTGTCGAACCCCGACGTCCGTAAGCGTTGTTGAATTGTCATGCACTGATGTTCAAATTCGTTCCAAATCACAAACGGGCAGCTAAATTAACCCAAACAAAACAGCAATCAATGTGTAATTAGTATCAATTAGTAGTACTCTATGTACCGTAGTGCTGGAGAAAGTCATGTTAATGATTTTTTGAACGGACATAAGTTATCATGAATTTGAGTATCTCACACTCTCGTGTTGGCTAAGCTGGCAATGTGGATTTCGCAGCCGAAGTTTGAGCCAACCTATTGGGCAAGTGTCTCCAGCAATCGTCATTGAAAAATGGGTGATTAGTATATATATATGATGTTATATATAAGTCCAAATTTTACAATCGTCTCCTTAAACGCATCCCTTAAACTTATCCTTAAAACTCCCAAGATCAGTCACACGTCGTCCCCAAGTCTCTATCCCCTTTGCATCACAGGAGGGCCTCACTGATCAAGAGCTCTTCGAGCGGGAGCGAACGGTTTTTCTGCACCCGGCACACCCCGTCAGACGGCTATGAATGAATGGGGGAAATGGTGATTTGAAAAATCATTCCAAACTGGGGGTACCCTTTTTTCAGACAAAGCCAAATGGTGGGTTTTATGGATTATCTGAACAGCTTCATATATTGGACCCCAAAATGTAATTGTTCTAGCAAGAAAGTGATGATAAATGATGTTCCAAAGCAATTCTTGGGGGCTTCTATATTTGATTCTTCAAGAGCGTCTTTGTAGAGCTCTATATCCATGTCAAATCCAGGACATGTTGCTTGCTGGTCTAAGTTGGGATTGTGCAAACTTTTTCGAGGGCATACTTCATGCCCAAGTGTATGATGTCTGTTAGGCTGTCAGCATTTATTATCAACCCACATGACTGGTTTAAATTCCTATTTGCCTGTGGTCGGCATAAAAGATTGGCATGGCAAGGGGCCTCCAGATTATAGGTATGTTGGTAAAGATAACTAGAATGACGATTGGAGTTCAATGTGGATATAATATTACCCATCATCATCATCATCATCATCAACATGCCGGGAACGTCCCTGTAAATCTCCGGGCAACACGAGGCGTCTGGCCGTAATATTATGTATGTATATATATAGTGTATATATATACAGTATATACATATATATACATTGTCAATGTCATATGTTATGATCCAGCATCCACAGCTACAATTTGACTTTCCATGGCAAATATGTTTGTAGGTAGATGGGCCAAGTTATGAAGCAACGAAAATAGAATCTCTCAAGGATTTTGGCATGGCTCAGATAGACTATTAGACATGGTATATAGACAGAATGAAAGATAGAGAAATGGATAAACATACAGAGTTTGCCTGTTTGACCCGCGAATCTTTATCCCATATTCTTTGTGGAATTCTTTGTGGAATTTACATTTGAACATCCCAAATCTCATGTTTACGTTTGAAAGCTGCCATGAATACCCTCTGGTAAACATACAAATAACTATGGAAAATCACCATTTTTAATAGGAACATCCACTATTTCTATGGTCATTTTCAATAGCTATGTTTGACATAACCAGAGGGTATTCGTCATGAACAAGGGGATCACGTCCGCGCAGAACCAGCAAGAGATCACGGAGCCCTGGACTTTCCGAGATCTTTGGAAGTTGGTGCCGTGGCAGCGGTGATTAAATTGAGTGACCAGTGATGAGTCGCTAGTAATCACTAGCAATGGATAGTAGTGATTATAGTGATTATAGTGATTATAGTGATTAAGGATAGTAATCACTAACAATCAATAACTAAGAATTATAGTGATTATAGTGATTATGTCTGATTGATGGGATGATTAAAGGCATGATTAATGATGATAAATGATGTTTAAAGGTGATTAATATGATAATATGTGATATTATTGATATTATAATATCTGAGTAAATTTCATCACGACCTCACTGTTCTCCCTCACTGGAAATCATCATGGTTAGTAAGGGAAATCATCCCCAAATGGCCGCAAGATTCAGGTTAGTGAAATATTATAACTTACCCAGATATGTTGTATATATACCAAGTGGGGCCCCCAAACGATAGCTAAGTTGGTGTATAACTCCAAGAACTATGGTTTATGGTACTTCTAACTATAGTTACTGGGGCTTATAAACCAACTTATAACTGGCGGTACCCCAAAATGGATGGTTTATAGTGGAAAAACCATCTATAATATATATATATATAAATGGATGATGATTTGGGGGTCTCCCCATGACTTTGGAAACCTCCATCAATTATCATCATATACCTCTATAAATATAATTTCTATGTAACGCGAAGAGAATGAGCTTTTGCTGGGATTTCAGAACCATTACTATGATCTCAGGTTGTCAAAGTAGGATGTACCCGCAATTTATGGGAATTTTCAGGGGAAGCATGACATGAGGGACGCATTTATGGTGAGATTTTCTGGGCTGCTCTATTTTCAGACAAACAACGCAGCAGCTCTGCATATGTCTCTGGCCAATCGTCGAAGGGTAAGGGAAGCAACGAATGGTGCCGAACTGACATGCAATGACCGTGAAACTCGGTGCGTGAAGAAAATCAGAATTGATCTAGCCATAGGATCCATGGTGCTGGTATATATGCTAACATTGGGGGTATATTGATGGTAAATGTTACCATATATTACATGGATCCTGTGGGCTATATCATTGAACATGATTGAACTGAACAACACAAAAATTAGGATGTGAATGCAGATACATAAGTAAAAAACATCACGAAACAACATTGCATTTTTGGTTTGCCTACCCGGGGGCTTGCTAAAAAAACCTTAGAAAGAAACGTTAACTATCCTGGTGATTGGAAGGGATCATCGACTTAAAGAATAGTTCTGGAATGGGGAAACCACGATTCTCCTCCGAATTTCCTGTAAATTTGTTGTTACCTGTTTGCATTTTTTTAAATTTACCATAAATGTTGCTTGGATTTTGGTTGCTTCCTAGGGGTCCTAGCATTTTCAAATCCAACATTGCAGCCATTGCTGGAATGACTTGTAAGTGGGATACCCTTTGGTAATTCACCAGTTTGCTATGGAAAATAACCATGTCCAACAGTTCAGTCAACAGAAAATAGCCAGATGCTAGTGGTTTTGTTGACATTTTTTTCATGGGATCTAATCCCAAAAACCCATGGTATTGATCCCCCTAGATGACATGATGAAAAAGCTACCACGACCATGTCATACACAGCCACCGCTAGCATGGTGGCTGTTCTCCACATTTTTCCTGGTGGTTTTTCACAGCTACATTGATCAAAGGTACGGAACTGAAATTTGCACGTTTCCAGAAAAAGCCGTTTTCCCAAAGAACCTCTGGGAAACATATTCAGAACTGTAGAATCAACCATTTATATAGGGGAAATACATATGTCTGGGTAAATTGGTTAGTAAGGGAAATCATCCCAATATGGCCTTAATTCAGGTTAGTGAAATATTATAATTTACCCAGATATGTTATTAGATATTTATTATTATTAAAAAGCATTAATTCGAAAGGGATATGGGGTCATGTTGTTGGGTGAATTTACTAAAAAAATGGAAACACTATAAGGCAACACATGGATATGTTCCAAATAATTCCCTAAGATATATAAATGGTTTTTGTCCGAAAATACAGTACCCAAAGGGTTATGTTCCACTGGATCACTGGACCACTGGCAGAGGTTCCAGTGAAGCTGGTGCTGACGCTCTTTATCACGCCTTTTGGGCGGCACTTGCCATTTTCAGTGGGGCGAAAGATTTTGGGGGTCCATAGTTCTGGTGAAGATGTTGTTTTCACCCTGATTTCAGCAACATAAAATGGGGATTCTTTTGGCGTCAAACATTGGGATTGAACCATTGAACCGACCAAAAATGGACTGTGATAATTTTCATGCTGATCCAAGAAAAAAAACCATGAAACTTGGGGATTTCTTACATGAATTAACCAACAAACATGGGGATTTGTTACATGATTTACTGCAACCAACACGTGTTCTTTTTATTAGGATTTAGTGGGATACAGTGGGAAATAGTAAGGATAAGTCATAACGACCACACGTCGCGACGTATGGCTGGAATAATGGGAATAGGATTGGGCCAACTGTCCCAAAATAGCCAGACCATGCAGAAATATTCAGCTTAGTGAATTATTGTGTAAGGGTAACTATCTCAAAATAACCGATCTGTTTAGGTCGGTGGATTCTTAGTTTCTATCCAGATGTTCCAAATTTCCATGGCTATTTCAAGGGCAAAAAGTGGAGGATGATCTGATTACGTAGTTCTCTTGCGAGTAGATTGAGACAATTCATGACGTGCATTTAAATCCTTCATTCAAATCACCATTAAATCATTTATAATCACCATCAAATCGTAATCACCATCAAATCACCATTAAATCCTCCATTCTTGGTTGGTTCAAGCATCTATAGACTACATCTATCGAGGGCCGTGCCGCCTTTCCAGCCGATTCTGAGTTTTCCGATTGGTTTGCAAAGTGTTCCGGTATCAACCATGGCCCATTGGCATTGAATAGCATGTCAAGTTTTATTGGCTATATATATATATCCATTTATTGGCTATGTATGTCAAGTTTCTATGGCATTTCCCCCCAAAAAACATCCATTTCCAGTGGATGTCCCATATATATATATATACCCATGACGGATCCATGTCTGGTCCATGGTATATTAATGCTAACATGACTGGGGGTTTCCATTGATGGGATCCATGGCACACCATATATAGCAGCACCGTTAGGATCCTATGGATGGGATATACATGACCATTTCAGGATATTTCAGGCAGGAAGTTCAAAGCGTTTGTGAAGCCCAGACCATGATGGGTCTCCCATTTGTCGCCCAAAAAGGTGGTTCTTCGTGATGCGATATTACTGGCAGAATTGCGTTCTGAGCGAGGCGGGGCTGTGAACAAAAAAGAACTACTTGGAGTATCAGAATTGCAATGAAGAATTCCCAATCAATGGAGGTTTGAATCAGAAAATCAGCAAACTAAATGGGGGAATTTATGGGACTTTTCAATTTGCCACATTTGATTACCGGAGTCCTGGAAAAATCCATACATCCGGAAACATTTTTATCACAACAAAAGGGGTGATATAAATAGACATCCCATAGAAATACCATAAAAATCCCATAGAAATCCCATAGAAATCCCATAAAAATCTCATAGAAATCCCATGAAAATCACATAAAAATCCCATAGAAACCCCATAGAAACACCAGAAAAACCCCATAGAAATACCATAGAAATCCCATAAAAATCCCATAGAAATCCCATAACAATCCCATGAAAATCACATAAAAATCCCATAGAAATCCCATAAAAATCACATAATAATCCCATAGAAATCCCATAAGAATCACATAGAAATACCATAGAAATCCCATAGAAATCCCATAGAAATCACATAAAAATCCCATAGAAATCCCATAGAAATCCCATAAAAATACAATATATAAACACCCCATAAAAATCCCATAAAAATCCCATAGAAATCACATAGAAAATTCATAGAAATCCCATAAAAATCCCATAGAAATCCCATAGAAATCCCATAGAAATCCCATAAAAATCCCATAAAAATCCCATAGAAATCCCATAGAAATCCCAGAGAAATCCCATAGAAATCCTATAGAAATCCCATAGAAATTAAATTTCATAGAAATCCCATAAAAATCGCATAAAAATCCCATAGAAATCCCATAGAAATCCCATAAAAATCCTATAACAATCCCATAAAAATCCAATGAAAATACCATAGATATGTTCTAGAAATCCCATAAAAATCCATAGAAATCCCATAGAATCCCATAGAAATCCAATAGAAATTTCATAGAAAATCCCATAGAAATCCCATAAAAATCCCATAGAAATCCAATAGACATTTCACAGAAAATACCATAGAAATCCCATAGAAATCCAAGAGGAATCCAAGAGAAATCCCATAACAACCCCATGAAAATCACATAAAAATTCAAAAGAAATCGCATAGAAATCCCACAAAAAATCCCATAGAAATCCCATAGAAATCCCATAGGAATCCAATAAAAATCCCATAAGAATACCATAAAAATCACATAGAAATCCCATAGAAATCCCATAAGAATGACATAGAAATACCATAGAAATCCCATAGAAATCAAATAAACATCCCATAGAAATCCCATAGAAATCCCATAAAAATCCCATAACAATCCCATAAAAATCACATAGAAATCACATAGAAATCCCATAGAAATCCAATAGAAATACTATAGAAATCCCATGACAATCCCATGAAAATCACATAGAAATCACATAAAAATAACATAGATACCCTATAGAAATCCCATAGAACGCCAATAGAAATCCCATAGAAATCCCATAGAAATCCCATAGAAATTTCATAGAAATCCCATAAAAATCCCATAAGAATCCCATAAAAATCACGTAGAAATCTCATAGAAACCCCATAGAAATCCCATAGAAATACCATAGAAATCCCATAGAAATACCATAGAAATCCCATAACAATCCCATGAAAATCACATAGAAATCCCAATAAAAATCCCATTAAAAAAAGATAGAAAACCTATAAAAATCCTAAACAATCCCATAAAAATCACATAGAAATCACATAGAAATCCCATAGAAAAAACATAGAAATCCCATAAAAATCCCATAACAATCTCATAAAAATTACATAATCACATAGAAATCCCATAGAAATCCAATAGAAATACCATAGAAATCCCATGACAATCCCATGAAAATCACATAGAAATCACATAAAAATAACATAGATACCCTATAGAAATCCCATAGAACGCCAATAGAAATCCCATAGAAATCCCATAGAAATCCCATAGAAATCCCATAGAAATCCCACAGAAATTTCATAGAAATCCATAAAAATCCCATAGAAATCCCATAAAAATCCCATAGAAATCCCATAAAAATCCCATATAAACACTATAGAAATCCCATAAAATTCCCATAGAACCCCCATAGAAATCCCACAAGAATCACATAGAAATCCCATAGAAATACTATAGAAATCCCATAGAATTCGCATAGAAATACCATAGAAATCCCATAGAACACCCATAGAAATCCTATAAAAATACTATAAAAATCCCATAGGAAATCCCATAGAAACCCCATAGAAATCCCATAGAAATCCCATAGAAATTTCATAGAATTCCCATAAAAATCCCATAGAAATCCCATAGAAATCCCATAGGAATCCCATAAAAATCCCATAGAAAATTTCATAGAAATCACATAGAAATCCCATAAAAATCCCATAACAATCCCATAAAAACGACATAGAAATCTCATAGAAACCCCATAAAAATCCCATAGAAATCCCATAAAAATCCCATAGAAATCCCATAGAAATCCCATATAAGTCCCATAGAAATTTCATAGAAATCACAAAAAAAACAATAGGCATCCCATAAAAATCCCATAGAAACCCCATAGAAATCTCATAGAAATCCCATAGAAATTTCATAGAAATCCAAAAAAATCCCATAGAAATCCCATAGAAATTTCATAGAAATCCCATAACAATCCCATAAAAATCACATAGAAATCACATAGAAATTTCATAGAAATCCCATAAAAATCCTATAACAATCCCATAAAAATCCCATGAAAATCCCATAGAACACCCATAGAAACCCTATAAAAATATTTTAAAAATCCCATAGGAAATCCCATAGAAACCCCTTCTATCCCATAGAAATCCCATAGAAATTTCATAGAATTCCCATAAACATTCCATAGAAATCCCATAGAAATTTCATAGAAACCCCATAGAAATCACATAGAAATCCCATAGAAATCCCATATAAATCGAATAAAGATACCATAAAAATCCCATGAAAATCCCATAAAAATCCCATAGAAATCACATAAAAATCACATAGAAACCCTATAGAAATCCTATATTATATATAAATATATATATATAGAAATACCATTCAGATCCCATAGAAATCCCATAGAAATCCCATAGAAATCCCATAGAAATCCCAAGACACCCCATAGAAATCCTATAGAAATCCCATAATAGAAATCCCATAAAAATCCCATAGAAAAAAACATAGAACCCCCATAAAAATTCCATAACAATCCCATAAAAATCACATAGAAATCACATAGAAATCCCGTAGAAATCCCATAGAAATACCATAGAAATCCCATAACAATCCCATGAAAATCACATAGAAATCACATAGAAACCTCATAGAAACCTCATAGAAATCCCATAGAAACCCCATAGAAATCCGATAAAAGTCCCTTAAAAAAATCACATAGAAATCCCATAGAAATCCCATAAAAAATCCCATAGAAATTCCATAGAAATCCCATAGAAATCCCATAGAAATCCCATAAAAATCCCATAAAAATCCCATAGAAATCACATAGAAATTTGATAAGAAATCCCATAAAAATCCCATAGAAATCCCATAGAAATCCCATAAAAATCCCATAAAAATCCCTTAGAAATCCCATAGAAATCCCATAGAAATTTCATAGAATTCCCATAAAAATACCATAAAAATCACATAGAAATTTCATAGAAAACCAATAAAAATCCCATAACAATCCCATAAAAATCCAATGAAAATCCCATAGAAATTTCACAGAAATCCAATAAAAATCCCATAGAAATCCCATAGAAATCCAATAGAAATCCGATAAAAGTCCCTTAAAAAAATCACATAGAAATCCCATAGAAATCCCATAGAAACCCCATAGAAATCCCATAGAAATCCTATAGAAATCCCATAGAAATTAAATTTCATAGAAATCCCATAAAAATCGCATAAAAATCCCATAGAAATCCCATAGAAATCCCATAAAAATCGCATAAAAATCCCATAGAAATACCATAGAAATCCCATAAAAAATCCCATAGAAATCCCATAGAAATTTCATAGAAATCCCATAAGAAATCCCAAAAAAAAACCATAGAAATTTCATAGAAATCCCATGAAAATCACCATAAAAATCCCATAGAAATCCCATAGAAATCCCATAAAAATCCCATAGAAATCCCATAGAAATTTCATAGAAATCCCATAAAAATCCCACACAAATCCCATAGAAATCCCATCAAAATCCCATAGAAATCCCATAGAAATTTCATAGAAATCCCATAAAAATCCCATCAAAATCCCATAGAAATCCCATAGAAATTTCATAGAAATCCCATAAAAATCCCATAGAAATCCCATAAGAATCCCATAGAAATCCCATAGAAATTTCATAGAAACCCTATAGAAATCCCATAAAATTCCCATAGAACCCCCATAGAAATCCCACAAGAATCACATAGAAATCCCATAAAAATCCCATAGAAATCCCATAGAAATCCCATAGAAATTTCATAGAAATCCCATAGAAATCCCATAGAAATCCCATAGAAATTTCATAGAAATCCCATAGAAATCCCATAGAAATTTCATAGAAATCCCATAGAAATTTCATAGAAATCCCATCCCATAGAAATTTCATAGGAATCCCATAAAAATCCCATAGAAATCCCATAGAAATTTCATAGAAATCCCATAGAAATTTCATAGAAATCCCATAGAAATCCCATAGAAATCCCATAGAAATTTCATAGAAATCCCATAGAAATCCCATAGAAATTTCATAGAAATCCCATAGAAATTTCATAGAAATCCCATAAAAATCTCATAGAAATCCCATAGAAATCCTATAGAAATTCCATAGAAATCCCATAGAAATTTCATAGAAATCCCATAGAAATCCCATAGAAATCCCATAGAAATCCCATAAAAATTTCATAGAAATCCCATAGAAATTTCATAGAAATCCCATCCCATAGAAATTTCATAGAAATCCCATAAAAATTCCATAGAAATCCCACACAAATCCCATAGAAATCCCATAGAAATTCCATAGAAATCCCATAGAAATTTCATAGAAATCCCATAGAAATCCCATAGAAATCCCATAGAAATCCCATAGAAATCCCATCAAAATTCTATAGAAATCCCATAGAAATCCTTGAAGAGCTCCCCCCACAGAACGGCCCAACGCTTCAACGTCCCTGCGCGATCCTGTAAGGCGGGTGGCCTGGTGTCGCATGCCATGGGACTTCCACGGAGCTCCAAGTTATCACTCGCCAGCGCCTACCTCTCGACACTTGGGTCACAAGTAGTTGATGAATATGGATATTCTATAGATAATATTACTGGTTGGTGGTTTGGAACATTTTTTGTTTTTCCATATATTGGGAAGAACCATCCCAACTGACTAATATTTTTCAGAGTTCTGGCTCAGGTCACCTACCAGTGGTTGAACTGTGCATGCTAGGAACCGGAGGGTCGTCTTGACAGGGCATGGCCATGGGATCATTAGTGGATTGGAAAGAAATTCATGTTGGGCAATGTATCAACACGGTTTTGAATGTAGTGTGCAGGGACCTCGAAGGGGTTAACACGTGCCACTTATGCCAATCTAGCGATCGCCAAGCTGCCAAGATCTGGGTGAAAGGCATTTTGCCTGCTGGTCCCTCTCTCTGTTTGCTGGATGTCCAGGTGTCAGCTGTGGGGCCGGTTGTCTTGGAAGTTGGTAGCCAGTCGGTGGTGGTTTCAGTGCCGGGGTGTCGCTTGTCCGATGTCACATGTGTGGTTGAATTGTGTTCTGGACTTGGTGCCTTTTCCAGTGGACTTTCTCGACTTCATCTGAATGCTGTTGCAGGGGTGGACGAGAACCCGGTGTGGAAATCCTTGTATACCAAGCTTCATGGGAAACATGCTCAGTTCATCCATGGTGATATCCACTCGGGTGATACCCTGAAAAGGCTTGTGGATGAGAAGTACTTTCATTGCATAGTAGCAGCAGGGGTGCACTGTCAACCATTCAGTCGTATGGGGGATGGCAAGGGAATGTTGGATAACAGGTCACAATCTCTTCCCAAAGCACTTGCCACCAGTTGGATTTTGCAAGCAGTGATCGTCCTGTTGGAATGCGTTCCGGGTGTGATGTCTGATGCTGGTTTTCAAGGGGTTCTTCGGCAATTTGTCAGCCAGACTGGATACAAGCTGACACAGGTGGTACTGCACCTTCAGGACAGCTGGTGTAGCCGTAGAGAACGTTGGTTTGGTTGCTTGGTTGCCCCTATTATGAGTCCCATCAGCATTCCTCCCATGCCAAAGCTTGGAGTTTGCGAAACCATCCGCACCCTTTTTGATGTTTTTCCTCAGGTGTCAGCCGAAGACCAGAAGCAGATAGCTCTCAACCTGTATGAGCTGAGCAAGTATCATGCTTATGCCTTGGGGGGAATCGCCAAACAATATGTGGATTTGGATGCCAAAGCTGCCACGGTTTTGCACTCCTTGGGCAATCAGATGTATCACTGTGCATGTGGATGCCGTCCACCGTTGAGTGAAGAAAGGTTGAAACAAAGAGGGTTGGTCGGGGCCTTGTTGAAGTTGGGCACCAGTCAAGTCCATTGCAACGTTGAAATGGAACACTGTAGGTATTGGCACCCTGATGAAATGTGGGTTCTTTTAGGAGGTATGCCAGGGATTGACTTTGGTCCGAACCTTCGACTTGCCATGGCAGGGATTGGTCAGTGTGTTGCACCCTTGATGGCCTTGTGGGTTTTCTCGCATGTCCGCCAGCACCTGGATGAGTTTTTAGGAATGCCGTCCTGCCAGCCACTTGACATGCTCCGAGGGTATGCATCCGAAGTTTTGCAAGCTTGCAACATCCGATGGCCAAAGCAGCCTTCTGCGGTAGGTCCCGCCCTTGCTGAAGCATCCGTTCCGTCTGAATCTGAAACAGGGATCCCACCCACAGTCCAGGATCCCTCTGGTGTAGTCACAGTTCGCTGGGATAAACTAGGGGTAAATCAGCAGGTTGCTTTTACTGAGGGTGCCACTGTGCGTCAACTTCTGCAAGCTGAACAGGCCATCCAGGACATTCAGGGTAGTGTGGGGGTAACTGTTGCGGGAGTTGACATGGACTTGGACTTGCCCCTCCAGCCGGGTTGGACTTTGGACTTTACCCTGGCCACATCCCCATCGGTGTCAGATAGACCTGAAGCGGTTGCTGATTGGAATACCTATGCAGTTTCCACCTTCCATGCACTTGCCCAAGAACGACAGCAGTCGATCAGCAAAGAGGCACGTCAGTTGATTCTGGCTCAACAGGGGCCAATTTGGGGTGATGATGAAGTGTTGGCTGGGTTGCATAGCATTGCAGCCCAAACAGGGGCCGACCAGTTTGTTCATGTTTGGGACCCTCTGTTGGTTTCTGGTTTGGTGGTTGATAGCCAAGCACGTACTTGGGTTGACTTGATTGGGCGCCTTGGCCAAGTGGCAACTGTCATTTCTGCTGTGGCGGTTGAGAACCATTGGTTTCCGGTGGTATGGAGGTTGGACGGTGAATCTACCAGGTTGTTCACATGTGGTGTCACTGCGGCTCAGTCAGGGGCTTTTGATTTTCTTAGCAGCATCGTTGGAGCTCATCGAACTGGAGCTCAGCAGCCATGGAAAAACACACCTCTTGGGTTTGTGCCTTCGGGTCACTGTGGTGCCCTTGCCTTGTTGTTTGTCCAGCATCTGTTGTGGGGGGAACCTTTGGTTTACACTCAAGCCCAGGTTGAAGCAGCCTCTGATCGTTTCAGGGATGCATTTGTTGCCAGTGACACGGTCAACTTTTTGCGCCCCCGTTTAGCAGCTCTTGGACTTGATCCCAGTGGACTTTTGGGAGACTTGCTGCAGCAGCATGGAGTAGCCAGGGAGGAGGTCGGTGAAAGGGTTGCACTTGTCAAAAAGACCCTTGGGGAGGACACCATTGCCAAAGCCATGGCAGCCAATAACCCATGGCAAGAGTTGAAGTGGCATGCCAACCAGCTGCGACCTCCTATGGTCTTGATCAAACCTTCAGAGTTGCAAAGGACCATTGACAAGCGGTCAGAGAGGGCAGTAGGAGCCAAGAAGCATAAGCATGGGAAAGGGAAGGGAAAAGGCAAAGCTGCTCCGCAGGCAGTCTTGGATTCCACCATGTTGCGTTTGGAACAGGGGGTTTTTCAAACTCCTCAGGGTCAGTCGCTTGGTCAAGTTGCCTTGTCCAGTCTGTCGGTCGCAGTATCAGGGGTGGTTTTGACGACCTTGTCAGTGGCCAAGCCATACATGCAGACCGGAAAGCCACTCTCGTCCGGTGCCTTGGGTTTCTTGCTCTTGGATGGGAATGCAGGTGCCGTCCAGGGTTTTGCAGCTGAGATGGTGCGGATCCCCTTGGTTTGTGCGTCCAATTCAGAGCCGTTGTTGGTCGATGCATGGTTGGTTCAAATGGGAGCAGTGCGGGTTTGAACGAGTTCCAGCCAAAGTGGAATTTGCAGTTCAGTCGATTCCAACTTGCGTGGTGAAGGCCATGGTCTATAGGGATTTGACTTCAGCTGACTGGGCAGACGTTGTTGCACACCCCCTGAAGCACATTTTTGGACTTGTGCCGCCTTTGCAGGTTTGTCCGGAAAGTGACTGCCCAGGTTGTGAATGTTGGCACCAGTCAGCACAATACCCGCTTGAAGGACCAGTTGTCGAAGTGTGGAGCAAGCAATGGCTTCGCCTGAACTTTGTAGCTAGCTCACCGCAACAAGCTGAAGTCTTTGTTGTCAATTTGCGCATTCCAGAGGTGTTGCAACACATAGTCCAAGAGTTCAGTGGTTTCTCAGGGATCTTTTTGGAGCCCAAGAGTGTTGACGGGCGCAAGCCGAGCGATTTGTACCAAGTCATTTGGTTTCCCAAAGCATCCGTAGAACAGCTTACCATGCAGAGGCAGACTATCCCTGAGGTGTGCGGCTTAGCCAGACTGGGTCACAAGTTGGGTCTTCGCTGTAAAGCGGAGCATGCTGCGGCTGTTTTTGCAAAGACCAAACCAGGTATGACTTTCCTGCCGGCAGGAAAGAAGCAGGCATGGCTTGTGGGACCTTTCCCATACTTTGATGTCATCGGTGGCAGCGGCCTTGAAGGAGTTTGGTTGGATTGCTCGGCCTGTTCAGCCAGTCACAGCGGGGCCACATGTTGAAGGTTTGATGTACAAGGTGCAGTCGGTGGATGATCCACCAGCCAAGGTCTTTAGGATGCAGCATGGTGATGTGTTGGTTACTCAGGACACTCAGCCGACCGCTGCCTTGCCCAATGCTCCCGAGAGTAGTAGCAGCTCAGGCCACCAAAGCTATGGTTTCCAAAGATGGCATTGATGAGCTACAGCTCAATGACCCCTGGGCTCAGGGAAGCATGAAACCTGCCCGTCCGCAGCAGTTTGCCATTGGGAACCCAATTGAGGACTTGGAGCAGCGGATTGTCCAAGAAGTTTTGGCTCAGCTTCCGAAGCAAGCCATGGAAGTCGACCTGGATGACAGCAGTGCTGTACGGGTTCAGCAATTGGAGAGGCAGGTTTCAGAAATTCAGGCTCAGACGAGTCAGCTTAGCCAGGCCGTTCAGAAGCATGCCACCGAGCAAGCAGGCCATGTCCAGGATCTGCAGCACCAAATCAGCCACCAGGGAGCTCATTTTGAGCAGGCGATCAGCGCACAGGCCGCACAATTGCAGTCCTTCCAGGACACCTTTCATGAGCAGTTCAAGCAACAGGTCACACATCAGCAGGCGATGCTGGATGGAATGTTTGATCGCCAAATGGATTGATAGGGTCGCCTTGCAGAGCCATGGTCCCCGCATCATAGCGGGGGACTTTAACTATGCAGTGGAGGAGTTAGGTCAACTGAAGCGGTTGCAAGACATGGGCTTCAGAGAAGTGCAAGATCTTGCCGCCTACCGTTGGGGCCAGAGCGTTTCCAGTACAGGGAGAGGAGCCAAGCGAATTGACCAAGTCTGGATTTCACCGGAGTTGCAGGTTCACCTGACTGCTGTAGCCATTGAGTTTGATCACTGGGCTGACCATGCCGCAGTGATTGCCAGTTTTCGAGCGTGGGGGATGCCTTGTACAGTCATGAATGGTACATGCCAGCACCTTTAGCCTGGCCCTCAAATTGGGGGTGTGAGATGCAGTGGAACAGCTCCATCGATCCCACGCTAGCCTATGCACAACTATGGCGGGGCATCGAAGCACAGGCATGTAGTTGGCACGCAATGCATGGAGTGAGGGTCAGTCCTTTGCAATGTGGGCGAGCGCAGACGCTTGCCACCAAACCCAAAGTCCAGCGTCTTGTGCAGTGTAGGAAAGGGCGAGTTGGGGAAGTTCAACCCAAGTTCCTGGGAATCAGTCTTCAACATGCCAGGTACTTCAAGCAGCTCCGTAGGTTGCAAGCCTTGAAACAACTTTTGGCTAGTGACACGGGTCCGAATGCAAAGGGCACTATCGTCGCCACCTGGAAGGCGATACGGCATGCAGTTGGATTCCCTGGCGGTTTTGGTCCATGGTGGTGTCGTCCCTCTCTGAGGTGTTGCCAGTGTCTTGCCCAGCAGCTGACCTTGTAGGGACCATGTTTGAAGCTTTTCATGCGTTTGTGGTGCAGTTTGAATCTCAGTTGGCGCAGCAGAGGTACAGGTATGCCAAACAGACGAGGTCAGAGAAACTTCAGTATGTTTTTCAAGATTGCCGAGCCGATCCCCTGCCACAGGCGGACACCTTGTTGGACAGTCTTGACGTTGGCATTGAGGAAGTAAGAGAGGAAGATGCATCCCTAGTCTTGGTTGAACCGACCCAGCTGCTACCAGATGTCCCTGTTGTTGCAGGCGGGCAGGTGCTTGAGGTTTTGCATGCCGACCATGATCAGGTGTGGGTAGCTGATGTAACCGGAGTAGGACCAGGCATGCACCTCTCTCAACAGAGAGCAGTTTTGGATGATCAAGCCATTCTTAACCGGTTCAAAGACACGTGGTCTCAGCGATGGAATCAGATGGCACATGTTGCAGAAGGCCAGTGGGATCAAATTTTTGCCTTTGCGAGCCGCCATTTTCGGCCTATGCAGTGGACGACCGACCCTTGGACTAAGGATCGATTTGTCACGGCAGTCAGGCGAAAGAAATGCCGAGCAGCCAAAGGACCTGATGGAGTTTCTCAACCGGATTTACTTGCCTTGCCGTACGAAGCTACCCAGGCTTTTGTGGATATGTATGATGGAGTTGAATCTGGTTGCCCATGGCCACAACAGGTTGCCACAGGTTTTATCACAAGCTTGGCCAAAGTAGCCACAGCACAGCAGGTGGATGCTTTTCGTCCGGTTACAGTGTACAGTCTGGTCTACCGTCTTTGGTCGTCTGAACGTGCCAGAGAGGCCTTGCATCAGGTCTGTCAATGGATTCCTGATAGTGTTCAGGGAGGGTTGCCGGGTCGACAAGCCAAAACCATTTGGTATGCTGAAGCTCAAGCTTTGGAGGTGGCACACATGCAAGGGGCCGAGCTGAATGGACTTCAGATGGACATCCAAAACTGTTTCAATGCTATCCCAAGAATGCCGTTGTGGTGGGTTTTGCGTCAGTTGGATTTTCCGGAGCATGTCTTGCGTGCTTGGGTGAGTTTTGTATCAGGGCAGTCCAGGCGATTTCGTGTGCGTCGGTCCACTGGGGAAGCAATCAGTTCTGTTTGTGGATTGCCTGAGGGCTGTGCGCTGTCGGTTTTTGGTATGGTGGTGGTGGACTGGATGCTGGACGTGTGGCTCAGACAGCTGTCTCCTTCTCCATCCCTTCAGGCGTTTGTGGATGACTGGAGTGTCATGTTTCCTGACCATCATGAGTTCGAGGCCATCTGGCAGGCGGTCCAGGCTTTCACCAGCAGTATGGACTTGACCTTGGACTTGCACAAAACAAAAGTGTGGAGCACAACTACGGAGGCACGAAAGCACTTTAGGGAGGGGCAGTTAGATGTTGCCTTTGTGTCCAGGGTTTTGGGAGCTCACCAGAACTACACCCGCCATGCGTGGAATGCAATCCTCCAGAAACGTCTTCAGACACTTCCAGGTATTTGGGTGAAACTTAGAGCCAGCCTGGCGCCGTATAAAGCCAAGCTTCTTGCCATTCGCATGATGGGGTGGCCAAGGGCTTTTCATGCATGTTCGGTTGTTCAGATCGGGAGTTCCCACTACCAGAAGGCGAGGTCAGGTGCCATGCAAGGTCTCCGCACCCAGCGGAAAGGTGCCAATCCATGTCTCCATCTGGTCTTGCAGAGTCTTTATGGTGATCCCGAAGCTAGGGTCATTGCTCAGACTTTCCGTGATGTGCGTGAGTTGGGAGGGGAGCGAGCCGAGTCACTTTTGGCATTACATGCTACAGAGCCTGCAGACATGCCTGGCAATGGGCCCTCAGCAATTCTGGCCTCCCGCATCTCTAGGGTGGGACGGACTGTGGGGGGTAATGGACTTGTGCAGGATGGACTTGGGGTGTTTAGTTTGCTTCATACAGGCTGGGATGAGGTCTTTTTGCGGTTGTGCTTGAGTTGGGGACAAGTGTTGGCAAAAGAAGTTGGACACCGACAAAGTTTTGCTGGAATTGACCAGATGGATTTGCAGGAGTTGCACCGTGCCCTGCGCCCATATGGTGACTTGGACTTGGCGCTGTTGCGCTGCCACCTCGATGGCACACTCTATACCCAAAATGGTAGGGCCAAGTTCCAGCAGGGTGTGGAGTCGAAGTGCCCTTGGTGTCAGGAAAAGGATGGATTTTACCACCGGGCTTGGACTTGTGCCTACTTTGAAGATTGCCGTGACCACATGTCACCCTTCTCAGCGTGCATTGGTGCCGACTTTGCCTTCTTGTTTGTCCGTGCATGGGTGGCCGGTTATCCTACCTGAATGGCATGTTCTGTCTGAGTTCCTCATGCGTCCTGTCTTCCCTTGTCAGTTTGCACCTGTCCATCCAGCAAAGAGCGGGGGGGAAGTTGTTGACTTGTTTGTGGATGGAACAGCTGCTTGGCCGAAGGAACCGAAGTTGCGTTTTGCAGCATGGGCAGTGACTTGTGCGACACAGGGGCCGGGAGCCTTGCAGCATGAAGTGGTGATGGGGGGGCATGTTGCTGGCCTCATCCAGACTGCGTTTCGTGCGGAACTGACTGCGGTTGTTGAAGCTATGCAATGGGCGGCCAGCCACAGAGTGCAGGTTCGTATATGGTCAGATTGCTTGGCGGTGGTCCGTGGATTCAAGCGGCTTTTGCGAGGTTTGGCGGTCAGACCTAACAAATCCCATTCAGACTTGTGGCAGCGGATGGCCTTCCTCCTTCAACAGGGCGAGCCAGGTCAGTTTCAACTGATCAAGGTAGTCTCTCATGGAGATGTGGCCCAAGCCTCAGATCCACTTGAAGCTTGGGTTTACTGGCACAATCACTTGGTTGATCGAGCAGCACAGGTGATCAATGAGAAACGGTCAGCGGAGTTTTGGCAAGCACATCAAGGGATGGTTGATGCACTGAGCTTTCACCGGAAGTTGCATCAGGCCATCTTACAAGTACATCTGCGCACTGCACGGAAGGCTGTTATGGCTCAACAGGTACCGAAGCAGCAGGACGCAGCACCAGACGTAGTTCCAGAGCGCCCTATGCAGGTTCCGACAGACTGGGTGTTGCCAGAAAAGATGTTTGCAAGGCATGGTCGCCTTAATGTTGAGGCTGTTCATCAGTGGTGGAGCGAGACTGGCACCCAAGTTCTGGGAGGGAAAGGTCAACTGCAGTTTGTGGCAGGTTTTCAACTGTTTTTGGACTTTTACTTGCCAACCCTTCACCAGGGACCTTGGGTACACAAGAAGCGCTGGTTTTCCGAGGAACAACACGTTCCCATGGTAGCAAAGAAGCGTTTGGGAGCGCGGGTCAAACAGTTTTTGACGTTGTTTCAGGTTTACTTGCGTCATCAAGGTGTTACCAATGTTACCAAAATGACGCGACCCACTAGCAGTGCTCTTGCCAAGTGGCTTGTCTGCTACAAACTGCGATATCCCAAAGACAGACTCCAAAAACTGGATGATGTCATATTTGAAATCGCAGGAAAGCAGCTTGCTTGCGCTGCTGAAATGGCGGCTTTCGAACCCTTTTAGGGCGCGACGCTTCATGAAGAGGTGGGACGGCGGGGTCGTGCAACTGCCCCGGCGTCGTCTAAGAAACAGTAAGAAACAGTAATATTTTTCAGAGGGGTTGAAACCACCAACCAGATAATATTAGTAAGTAACAGTAGGAAACTATTAGTAATAACAACTACAATGGATATTAGTACCAGTAGTTGACCAAGGACCAGAAATAAGAACTATAATTGAGTTGATTAGTATTGACATTAGATATGAGTTGTTATTGGTAATCATTAGTGGTTGAACTAATAGTTGAAACAACCATAATTGATATTATAATGATTATTGATCACGGTGTACATTAGTTGATGGTTGATAGTGGAAATAGCTAGTTTTTGAGGTTGTATGGATAAAGTTACCTATGAATATTGATCAAGTGACTCAAATGATTTGTCAAATGAAAATCATTGGTAATTACATTATAATATGACATTAGTTATTGAGTTATAGGGATAAACCACTATTGTATGTACCAACAATTGTCAACTAATAGTTTGCCTATGGATCAATCTCAAATAATGATCATGGTTATACTGTAATGACATATTAGTTGACAATAGTTAATTGTAAATAATAACAGTTGGTAGTAATCTGGTAATCGCTATCTATTACCGCTATAAGATGAACAATGGTGTTGCAATAGATGAATATCACTAATAATAGTAGGTATGCGCTATTAGATGAATACCAATTCATAATAACAACAATAATCATTATTAGATGAATTTAATAGTTGATTAGTTGATAATGGTTAATAATATTTTGGTTAATAATAACACTTACTAATAGTAGCAACACTACTTCCATCTTATCAGTGAATTACTAATTAGTTGGTGATGATATGCTTATCATTATTGGCAACAACAGTTATAGGTAATTATCAACTAATATATCATTAATATGATTGGTGATTATGAACAATTATTATATTCAACTAATTAGTTGATAAATAATAACAGTAATAAAGGTAGTTTAGTATATTTATGTTTGTTATCCATATTAGTTGAACATAGTTGAATATAATACTTACTGTCATTATCAGTTGATATTAGCAATTGGTTAGTTTGATCACAAGTGTTGTAATAGTTGATATATAATAGTTAATAATGGTTTGTTATAATAGTCATTGTTACTGATATTAGTTGATATTAGTTGATGCTAGTTTATTATAATTATTGGCTGGGGATGGTTGGGGATGTGTGAAACATGGTTGAGATGGAACATGGGTAACCAAATTAGTTTACAACTTAGTTTTGAACGAACGATTTACTCGGCCTTGTTTAGGCCTGAAATATCATAATTTTCCCAGGTCATTACTATTTGATCATGGTTGCCATTAGTTGAGAATTATACAGCCATGCAACTTTGGCGGGTGGATTTCCCTTCATCAACTTTAGGCCTTGGATTTTCAAGTTTCCCAAAGGGACGAACTTTTGGTTGGTGATGCACCGATTCTATGTCACTTATATACATGTTCTTTACCAGTCAATGTTCGCCCAGCATAGGGGTTTACTCACAAGGGAGTAGCAAATTTGGTAAAGCGAGTTTACACTGGGCGATTCGCCCGCAATTTCAAGTTTCAGAGTTTATCACCATTTGGTAATTTAACATAATTATTGAAAATCACAATTTTTAATGGGTAAATCAGCTATAAATGGCAATTTTCAACAGTTATGTTAGTTCACCAGAGGGTATCAGATGGAGTTCATTATGATATGGATCATCCACCAATTATTTAACATAGCCATGGAAAATGGTCCATTTATAGATGATTTTCCCATTAAAACCTCCATTTATAAGGGATTTTCCATGGCTATGTTAAATAACCAGATGGTATATATAACTGCTGGTCATTCAAAATGGTGATTTTCAATAGCTATGTTAACCGGAACGGGGCAAACGACGTGGCAAGCGAAATCTGCCGGATGGCTGAGGAGCATTTTTCCGAACCCAACGGAGGCTGGAGACGGCTGGAACATGATACGGCTGGGATGGCACTTTTCAGGGAAGTTGCCATTCTAAGCCATCCATTTTAGGGTATCCCTATTTTAGGACACCCCTATACTTATTATATATATATATATGTATATAAATAAATACTCATATATATATATATATATACTCATATTATTTATAACTTTCGTATATATATATATACATACACTTATTATACATACTATAGATACAAAATCATAATTTAATGTTTCTAATATAGAGCTGCGTTGGATCGGACGGTATCTACAACATCCACTGAGCTTTGTCACCGATCGACAGCATATGGTGAGCCAAATCATTGAATTCATGGGGAATTTTTGCCTGATGGTGGTTAACCATTGATTCAAACGTTTATTGGTGATAAAACAAGTGTGATAAAAAAGCGTCAAGCACGGGGATTTAACCAATTGAATAGTGACTGAACAGTGGTATGCGGATATCATGGAACATGGAAAATGTAGCCTCCATGAGTTTGAGAGGTCGACCTGAGTCGACCTCACATCGTGGCGTCGCGGTAAATGATGCTTTTCAGATTGTACCTCTTGCCCAATGGCCTTGTCTCAGGTTGTTCAAGTATTATGATTTTTCAAACAAATGGCAAAACAGAGAAGCTACATCATTAACAATGGTTAATGGGCAACTATTTAATGCCAACATCGGATTAATCAACCCCCCCCCCACCAGGTAGGTAGGGGGGTACCTTCTGGCTAGTTTCTTGACTACCCCTTAATAATAAGAAACTCTGAACCATAAAAATTTGGATATGGCTTACGTCAATTAGATCTTAATTGAATTTTATTGGATTTGTTAAAATCTCATGGATCAGAAAGGTGGTTGATTAATCGGGGGCAAACCATGGTTATTATTAATGGGGGACATGGGCTCATGGGGGGTACCCTTTGGGAGCTATCCAAACTGATGATTTTTATAAAGATTTTAATTAGAAATCGATCATTTGGGGAATAGTCATTTTTTGAATTTTTCAATGATCAACTTAAACCTTAAGTATAACAATGATGATTAAAAAAAAAGGTAAAAATAAATTGGAAATAAATAGAATTGGAAATAAAAATTGTTGGATAAAAAATTGATTTCAGCACTGGTGGTTTTTTAATCGGGGGGTTTTATTAATCCTGGGGGACCACCTTTTTTTAAATTACATTTTTTTGGGGGGGCAGAGGAGGTTGATTAATACCGCGGGGATTATTAATCCTAACTTGGCATTACTATTTTACTACACATTACTGTAACCATTATATAGATATATAATGATATTTAAAATTTGTACAGGGCCCATCTAAGATTAGCCGATGACGAGACCTTGCTGGGTGAAACCGGCTGAGCCATCCATGTTTTTCCTCGGGTATACAACGGAGTTGAATCTGAATTATGGCGGGAACTATGCCACATATTTTGGTGATCAAAGAATCAAATCCCAATTTTCATTTGATGATGAACACCAGCACTGTGGTTGCGAAATCACCAGTTGATAGGTGGTAAACATCCCATTATTTATAGGGTTTCAACCACCCTATCAACTGATACAGGATTTTCATCCTCCTTTGCTTCGCAAAAACGCCATAGGAGAAGTACTTCTGGTCCATGCCCGATGTTCCCGCATCGTATTTGCACAACTGAGGCCAGCTTTTCCGATTCAAAGTTCTACTTGTGTCAATTTATAAATCATGAATGTCATAGATTCGATATGATGTGATTGCTTTTTTGTGCTAAAAAATGTCTGGTCAAAATGAATTTATTTATTTATATATTATAAAGTGCACATACAAAAAGCTTACTGTGGAGTGATTTTTCCCATCAGAACATGGATTCTACTCCTGTGAAAACCGTGGGATTTTTGGTCCGGTGATCCCCCATGGCAACCAGCTCGCGAAAGGTGGAACTTTCGCCCACATTTCTCAATGGGCCCAGCTATCACAGGTGTAACCCAGCTATCACAGGTGTTTGCTCCTAGCGTAACTTCGCGTTTTTCAGAGCCATGTCGATCATCAAATCCGGGAATCCGAAGAAATTTTGAGGCTTGATTCGCCATTTTGCTAGGAATTTCAGGGTTTTAATGCCCAGATCAACATAAAGAAGGTTTGTATGTTGTGTTGCAGCAATTGTGGATTTTTTCCAGGGACTATCTGGTCGGAATTGGAAAGGAACTGAGGCGGTCTCGGGTCTTCATTGGTCTTCATAGTTTCTCAACAAAACAGGGGGAGCAAAGGACTAACGAATTATGTTTCCCCAACAAAGACGATAGCGGAAACTTACCATTTCTCTGAACTTCGAGGGCTACTTGGGATACTTGGGAAGCCACCCTCACGGATCAATCACGAACTTTACCACAGAAACATAAACTATATAAGTCAACCTTTGGTAGTTCTTATGGATCATTTGTTATATAGTTATTTGTTCTGGTTGGTGGTTTGGAACATGGCTTTTATGACTTTCCATATATTCGGAATGTCATCATCCCAACAGACTAATATTTTTCAGAGGGGTTGAAACCACCAACCAGATTAGTATATATCTAATTATCCATAGATTTATAATATATATATATATACTACAATAATATCTAATATATATATATATATAGCAAAGGGAAAATCAGAAGTAGCTCAGGGCAGCCAACCTAGCCCCGGGGCCAGGCGACCCGATCCAAAGAGATCGGTGGCAGAGCCGTTGCTGGTCGCCTACTTCGGTTAGGAAACACACTGCTTTGGAAAAAATATCGGTTTCCTTAACATGGGGGAATTCCAATATTTCTACCCCAATCAATTATATGCGCATATGCATACGTATATATATATATATATAATTATATATATACAGACGGTGGATGGTTGCGAAATCCTGCACCACCAAAAGCATGGTTGAAACCCTAGAAATAATGGGATGTTTACCACCTATCAACTGGTGGATTTCGCATTTCGCGTTGCCATCCACAGTTCAACTCGTGACGTGTCACCGCG